ATGAAAAAAAACCGCATCAAAATCCGTTGCGTAGTTTTAAAAATTGATATAGGAACTGAGAAAGCAACTTTTTTATGCTATGTAGTGATTTATATTATCGTATATACCCGGTTATTACCCGGTTTCTGAATTGAGTATTTAAAGTTAAACACGTCACAAATTGTACTTAAACAGGTTTTCGTATCTGATTTTAGTTTTATGAATGACCTCTTTACAGCAGTATATAAAAACTAGGATTTATTGCCTTGTAAAAAGTAAAATATAGCCAGTGTCATACCCTATGCAATTTGTGGCCACTGGGGATGATGTAACGTTGCTAATGATACCCCTATACGTTCAAATCCGTTGTCTTTCAAAAGTTATAGCGGAATAAAAAAAATCACATACATACATACATTAAACACAATAGACTACTTTTCTTGTGCATTCGTGTTAAAATGTACGGGAATCGATAACGAATCACACAAATACTAAAAAATATACAAAAATTGGGAAAATGTATCAAACTAGTTTCAACTTCAAGTTGAAGGTCACGAACAAGTTGTCGAGAACTGTGGACGCTTCAAAATACCAAATCTCACACAGCGCTATTAATAAACAAGGTTTAGCGTCGATGTAAATTTAATTGTTTATGAATAAATAACACTAACAGAGTGCAAATTTGTAATAGGGCTCTTAACTCTTTCGCGGAAGTAAGATAAGAAAACTTAATAAATCTTTCGTATTTAAACCCAAAATAAAGTCTTGTCTTCAGCACAACGTATTTACTCTTGTAAGACATTATAAACATGTTTAATTTATCAAAAATCCAATACACATAACATAAACAGTAAATACATGTATCAAAATCACAAATACAATGATAATTATATCATTAACATCCAAGTTGAGATCTAATTGTACAGCCTAATTATATTAGAGATGGGCGGTGGGAAAAAACCCAATGGAAAAATACCAGCACTTTTTCTCATTTGGGAAAACCAAGGTTTTTCCCGAATTGCCGGGTTATTATTAGGATTATATACATCGGTAGTTTTATTAAATTAATTAACTGATTTTAATGCATCCCATTTGTTTCAACTATTTAATTCAATATATTACATTATCTGCTCTATGGGTATATTCGCATACTTGACATTGTATGGCACTATTACACAGTCACGGACCTACGGCCTACTTTTTTAAAACATGTCCGTCCTATTGCGGCCATGTGAATATGATTTTAAACCAATTTTTTTAAAGCTAGTTTTGTAACCGTGTAATTATGTGCCAGGAAACTGGCACATATAATCTGGATTCGGCCTTAAATATCTTGTATGCGTTAGTCGATTAAAATTGAGATATTGAATAATACCGTCAATGTAGATTTAATATCTCTGAAAACCGTTTTTAAGAATTCGGTTGATTTAAAGTTTAAAAGTGATCAGTTGCAATAATTCCATTTTCTGTAACAGACCAAAAAAACACATCCAGCAGAATCTCCATCCAATAAATTCGATTTTGTTGCTTCTGACACGGTATAATTTCCATGGACAGCTAAACGAAAAAAACCCGAATGTATTCCGGATTGGGAAATTTTCTGGGTTTTTTCCAATTTTGGGTTTTTTCCGCGTCAAATCCCATTTCTAATTGCCATAGACATTACATGACATACATTCTTAAAAAATCTGTACATTAGGTATCTGTATACAAAATGTTAGTATTTTCATAAGAATTCTTCAGCTTGTACTGCTATTTACAATACATATTCCTACTTACTTATTTCCTAAATGTCCGTACAAGAAATTAGTATTGCGACTTGTACATCCACTTGAATAATACGGAAACATTTAATTGTTTTATTGTAAAAATAGATAAAAAAATATAGCAGTGTAATAAAGTTAGTAAGTAGTTAGTTAAAATAAGCTGGTACATAAAGATCCTAATCAAATATTAAAATTATAGATATGGCGCAGTTAACTGGATGAAACAGTCGTTCGATTGTACAGCTAGCCCTTTAATTGAATGGCGCCTTTCGATTGCACGTCTTTTTTTCTAGTTAAATCGTTAAGAAATTAACAACATTCAATAGAACGGCTGATTCAAAAGTTGCAGTATCGATGATTATTTATAATTTCAATTAGTTTCAAATATTTTTTTTCTACTCAGCTGATCAACGTTTAGCCGTGCAACTGTTTAAATTAGTGAATAGCAACGTATCCAATTTCAGTTTTAAGCGTAAATTTCAGTTTTATGGTAATCCTTTCAGTTTTGATATCCAAATCTACAGAAACATCTAATAATCTATCATAATTATTATAAATCTATAATTACTCCACCAGACTTTAAAATTCAATCAATATTGATTGTTACTTTAATTATTATTATATTTATTTGTTTCCTGTTTGCGAGTGATTATAATTATCATTAATATAAAATAATAGACAATTTTTTTTCATATTTACAGTTTTCTAGTTTTTTTTACTTGTACGCAGTGTATACAGTCTAGTATAGGGTTGGCAGCACTGGTCGAACATACACACGGCTGCACATCAGATTTGAACTCTAACACGATACACTAAGGTTCAAAATCTAATGTTACTTTTACTATCCAGGTTACAATATTTCAATTCCTTCGCATAAGCTTACGCTAGAACGATATAATTTCGTATGTCGAAATTATATCGTTCTAGCGTATTTCGTATTTCGTACAAATCGAAACATTGCCATCTAGGAAATAGAGTTTAGATTTGCCAGTAATGTATAAGAGTATGGGTGCCCGCGTTATGATCACGTGAAAACTAGCAAGTCCTTTAACAAGCCAATTTAGTTCAATAAACAGATAAAAGTAAGAAAAGTATCCTATGTTGTTGAAAACAAACAATATCTGATAAAAAAAATTACTAATCGTATGAATTAACATGGCACCTGGAGGCCTATTCTATTTCATCGAAAACAATATTTTGTCTATTATCGAAATGCTGTTACGTACCCAAAGAAACGCATTTTTATAATTATGATGCACTGTAGGGCGAATATTCTTAAGGAAAAAATGCTTAAAAAATCCACTTGGTCCCTGGCACCCTGAGATGGCATCCGATCCTATGACCTTTCGCAATCCGGGCGACTGCTCTAACCACTGAGCTACCCAGGACCTAACAGGACTGACGAATCTTTCAAGCACTTGTTACTTTTTGCTATTACAGAGCGTATTTTCATCAATGTTCAGACAATTCACCCAAACAGCCGAAAGAAATATTTTTACAAACATTTAAACTTTCGATAAAGATGAAAATTTGTTCTAATTATTATATTTAATCATCTCCCAATCCTATCTCAGGGTGCCAGGAACCAAGTGGATTTTTTAAACTATTTCTTCTTTAAGAATATTTTTTAGTATAACCTTGTAATTGTGAAATTAATCAAAAATAATAATTAGAATTTTCTTTCGAGGGCAAACAGAATAGGCCCTCAAATGTCATGTTGATTCGTTCGAGTTATTGTTATTTTAAATATCCATGTGGTCGAATTACATAACAGCAACAGTATCGTCGTACAACATTAAAGATAGTCTAACCTAATAAATTACTATTCGATATAATATTGACTTCACGTATATTCCTTATTTATAATAAATTCTTTGATAAATTTTAATATATCTACATAATTATCTATTAATTAACTAGTTTTCTCTTTGTTATTAAGTACATGTAGGATTTTCTCATTGGCACATTCTGTAATTGTTCACGTTCACGTGTACTATGTACTTCTCATATCTGGTAAATTGAACTATAGTAAAGAAAAATATTTGTGCATTATAAAGCAATGACTAAATTATATACATTATCTAACTAGCCTTAACATAATTAAAATCCATTATTCTATGTATTAACTTATACTCTCGTAATAGTGGAATTAGAGCATTATTTAAGGGAACAAAAATCTTCATACTTTACATTTTAAATATTGGTTCGTATTACTGCAACTGTCTAACGTCAGGACGCAACATTAGCACAAAAGTAAAAAGTTTTTTAAATCTCAAAACGGCATTCACAGAGGGGTAAGCAAAGAGTAAAGTAACAGTGAGTATAGTAGTAATTTAATATTTTTTTGGAATTTTGTCCAAAATAAATCATTACTACGTACCTATTAGGATGTAAAACACGAAATATCCGAAATAAATGTGTGTTTACCATTGTGCTAGTGCTACCATCTACATCGAACTTTGCGTAATATTCCATTTCTAAAAAAAGTTTATTTTTAATAAGACTAAATTATCAATATCAACAGCATATCAGGTTCTACAAAACTGTACATTTTCTCCAATTGATAATATATTGATTTAATCATGTTGATTATACTCCATTCATTATAGCATCAGACAGAAGTAAAATAAGGTTCTTTTTATGGTATACTTTGTGACAAAATATCAACAATCATGTTACTCTGAAGACTAACGGCTAATTTACTACATATCCACTTAAATACCAGCTGCTATACTTAACCGTTGTCTTTTAAGCTATATATTAAACAAATTTATTAGTATTTGACTAACTTAAAACATTAAATGACATTAAAACTATTACATTAAAAAGTGTTCATCTTAAAGACCCTAAAGAAGCAGGGTTACAACGTTGCCTAATCCCTTCAAACGATTCGGCAGTACAGCTTTTTAATTTTGTCAGATTATGATGTATTCATTTTAGTCAAAATACGTTATCTGGGATTGTCGTTCATTGTGAATGCTACTGCCTTTCTTGCTGCTTTTGTTGTTTTGCCATTTTCGGTGATTGAGTTATTACTGTTTTATAGTTGTTTTTTTATAGTTTTGTTTTAGCTGTTATCTTTTTGTTGTTAAGTTTTGCTAAATATGGACGATTCTGGTGCAGTCCGAGTGGCCTACAACAATTACCTTTGACATTTCAGGAAGTTTCCAATGTCTTAATCAATTGACTAATAATATCTGAATAAATATTATAAAAGTAACAATAAAAATTTCATTTTGTTTACCTTTCTTTTCTGGGCATAGATATAACTAAATTATAATCTAATTATATACACTTACAATTAGAATTTATCAAACAACAGATAGATAGTTTTAGTTCCATGTTGGCTCCCAGTAAAAGATGAATTTAGAAAATGCTAGTCTCATCTCAACCCCCAAAAAATGGAAAATTGCCCAACTCTTTAAGACTACCTAATGTAACAAAAACAAAATTTCAACAAAATTATTATAATTATTTTTTAAATTTATCTTGTAAATAAAATGTTCTGCACTGCTGTTTCTGATATCCTCTTTTTCTAATGTTATAATGAATGGAATTGAATATGAGGAGCTTAAATTTGTAATTTTTTTAGTAATCTAATATGCTGTGGAAATTAAAAAAGTAGTTAAGTACACCTGTATTTACAACTCATTATGCTGCTGACACTTTATTTAAAAAACAAAGATCTCACATCCATACAGACCTTACATCAATATCCATCATATTAGAACGCTTTTAGACATACCCTACTTCCGTCTAAAGGTAAGTTCACACATTAAATTAATTGTTTAGCGATCTTGTAAATTTTAATGTTCTAAAATCAATTATCGGAAATGTCTTACACTGGCATGCTACTCACTCAATAGAAATTCACTGACATTGCTATGAGAAAGCTATGCCATTCTTATGCACCGGTCGCGTGAATATAACATCTTCGTCATCGACGTTCACGCTCTCAGCAGCAGTGAGTGCTATTGTATCGCTATGTACCACGTGGGGAGCTTCGTTGAACTCGTCTAACTCTTCTATGCCTGCTGTTTGGTTGAAACGACAAATATTAATCGTAGCTGATACTTGAAAAAAATTGTGAAATGAAAAAACTTCTACCTTAAACTTCTACTAAAAGTTCAAAAATAAGAGATTACTTCAGTTAGGCTGTATGGCATAGATTCCTTTGCTGTTCATTATATATGGTAGTTTATTTTTTTATAAAATAATTAAACTAGATTCTCGTAACACAAAAAAAAACAAATCTTGTATGATTATTATTTTATATTGAGGTCTTTTCGTATTAAGGATTGTTTTGTGAAAGTGTTATTACTAAAAAAAAATTCGGAGTAACTGATCGAAATTGGTTAAAATTACATGTAGTATTTACCTGTATAGTCAGAGGGAGCCAGCAGCAAGTACTGCTCTGAGCGCGTCGGCCATAGTAGATGTGCCATTACGCAAAACGCCAGACAATCAGCGGAATATGTTATACCTGAAAAATAAATAATGGACATAAGAACTTTCTGAGTATTGTAAAATATGTAAAGTACTTTCACTTTATATATTTTACAATAGGCTAGTTGATAACTTTTTTTTTATTTCATAAATAAATAGTCCATTAACATCTGAGAAATAATGTCGAAGTAACAGCATGTCTGCGATGAATAGTTTCGGAGATACGGTGCTGTGTTTGTAGAACTGCCGCTAGTTGGCCGAAAACGCTCCCTACAAATTCAAAGCACTCAGTGACGTCACATGGTGCTACAGTAGCGAAAAATGTATGGGCGTCTGGACATTTTTTGTAATATCTTTGTTATTTGTGCGTTTATGTTTATAGCTGTTATAATGAAAGTTGTAATATTTTTATATCTAATTTAAAGCCTTATGTATTTTAGCAGATTTTTGTAGTAGATTTTCTGTACTTTTTCAAGTTTCCAAAGCGTAATATTTTCCAAATCATTGACTTAAAATTTGTTTTGTTAAACATTTATAAGTTGAAATGGTTCATATTTTTCGAAGATATAACAAAAACATGTATTTTCACTTGTTGGACACAAGCCTATCCACAGAAAAACTTATTAAACCAATTAAAGAACTAATATAATACTGAAGCCCCACATCCAAATGACAGCACTTATAAAAAATTGTAGGTTATATACAATACAATGCCAAACAGAATTTCCTAGACTTTTGTGTGAGGCATCTTTTATCAATATTTTTTTATTTTGTATATAAGTGTTTGAAATATTTGTTCTGTCCTAAGTGTTGGTGTAAAAATTATCATCATCATCATCAGCCTTTGTACGTCTCCAATGCAGGGGCACAGGCCATCCTTATGGATAGTTAAGGAGGATGGGCTATAGCCCTCCATGCTGGCCCAATGCGGAGGGTATTAACAACTGCAAATGCAGCCAGGACCGAGTAGCTCGACATAATAATATTTTGGTCACTCATTCTGCGATCGACCCTTGCAAAATTTGCTTATCAATAACGATTACAGGCCGCGGCGCTTATCCCTACGCCACCGAGCTACCGAGGATATAGGAATAATATTTATCTATTATTATGTTTAATTATTTTTACAATACACTGGAATTACATTGTACACTCATTTCACATTTATATGCTAGCAACCAAACAATAATCAACTGAAAAACAGTATATGTTCCTGTATGTAACATCCTACAATGAGCTGTGTACCTCTTGAGCTACTGATTCACACGTAGATGCGGTTGTGCGATTCATTTTAATGTAGTGACAGTAGTGGTCCAATAAACGAGTTATCTATCTATGTAAACAGATAAAGAGCTGGACTTTAAGAAAAAATTTCATGAGTAAATTAATGGGTAGTAAAAAATATATTGAACTTACCTAATAAAAACTTGAACCTCCACAGTGGACTAATTTGTAGAGCTATCAATGCAATAACTGGCAGATAGACAAACCACACGAGGCTGGATGCGCCGAAATGTAGGAGAAAGTTCAGCTTCGGCATATTGTGTTCGTAGATCATAGTATTACGTAGTTCCACTACAAACCACATCATAATGGCCACCCGGAGAGTAAGAATTAACCAGCCAGGCCAAGTTTGATATTCATCTATCTCTTCTATAATGTCTACTTCAGTCTGGAAGAAAGACAATAAAAATGAGAAAATTCTTTATATAAAAATGCTTAAAAGATTTACAGCCAGTTGCACAAATGTCCATTAAAATTGACATTAGTTTAAAGTGACATTACCAATACGAATTTGACATTCATTAAAGCTTAAAGGCATATTTAAATGTTATTGGATGTTTGTGCAACTGACCGTTTCCCTCTCAGATGGACTTATCAGGTTATTTGAGGGAAATTAGTGATGTCTGAGATCATCAAAATTTTATAAAACACACATACCGTTAATACATTGCTTAAGGGTGTATTAAAGGTATGTAGCGTCGCATACTGTCGAGGAACATCAGAACTGACAAATACATGATATGACATTGAACTTTGCACACTTGATGGATTGATGTTGCTGCTATGTAATCAGCAGTTCATTTATGCTTCTAGATATAATTCTGAATATGTAGATTCGTCAATCTGCGTGAAAGAATTTTGAATCTCCTGGCAAAAAAAAACAAAGACAAAATGAAATAATGAATCTACACTAATATTATAAAGAGGAAAACTTTGTTTGTATGTTTGTAATGAATAGGCTCAAAAACAACTGGACCGATTTTTAAAATTCTTTCACCATCCGAAAGCTACATTATCCACGAGTAACATAGGCTATATTTTATTTTGGATATTTGAGTTTTTCTGACACAAGGTGTAAAAAATCAACCAGAAAGTTACTTATTTTGAGTACGCTGCCTAAACTATAAAAGATAGAACCATAAAATGATCTAATTAATTGGACCCTGTTCTGTAAAATGGTTTCAAGTGACATAAAATCGAAAATTGAGTTATTGGTACCGTTGGATTCGTATTGAAAATCTCTATCGGACTCTTTAGGTTCCAACTATGGAAAAATAATGTGCTCTGAGATATTTAAATAAATAAGGTTATGCAAAACTCAATGAGGCTCATTTCGAGATTTGCAAAAAGAACTCACGTTACTTGACCCCACTTGGCGAAATAATTTATCACCTATATTTGTTTCGTCAAAAGGTATCAAGTGTATTTTGACACCTTAATGCCGATAACTTTACCTAAAATGTTATGTTTTGCAGAAGTATTTTAACAGATCCTTAAAATCTTTATGCATATTTCTAAATCGGGTATACGTTTATGCTCTACTTCTAGTATTTGTGTCATTTGACACCTTTAAACGACTAACATTTTCCGTTACGGTTAGGTAAGTATCTATCTACACGATTCAACTTCGTCCAATATTTCAAATATAGAAATAGAACTAGTAGAAGGCCACATGGTTGAAATCTCCGAAAAGAAAACAGTTTATAAAAATACTGAAAATAATAACGAAACTATTTGCACCGATAATACCACGAAAAGCAACTTATCTGTTATGAATGTTACAATTGACCAAGATTACTTACCAGTTCCCTCTTCTAGTGAAAATACAATTTTAGAGCCCGGACAAATCAATAATAAGGAAGGACGACCAAGAAGAGGTAGAAAAAGGAAGTATCCACAACAAAATAGAAAAGAAAAGAGAGCAAAACTAAACCACGGTAAAGAATACATAAATTACAAAGGATTAACAGTGCCGTCAAAGAGTTTCGTTAATGGTTATAACTGTAGTTGTAAGAAAAAATGTACAGAAAAAGTTACAGAGATTGAAAGAAAGACAGTATTTGAGAATTATTGGGCAGCTGGTAGTTATGAAGCACGTTGTGCATTGTTACAAAGTTTTTGCAAAGAATTAGAAAAATCTCGAAATAAATCAAATAAAAGGACATTTACCAGAAAATATTATCTCAAAGGAGTCTCAGTTTGTAAGGCAGCTTTTTTAAAGACATTATCCATAAGCCAAAAACCCTTAGACATTGCTCTAGCTAAGCATAGACAACAGAAGCCGCTGTTGGATAAGAGAGGATGCACTGGTGGTCATAATAAAATCACAGAGGCTAAAAGTCAGGAAGTGATCAATTTTATAAAGAGTTTACCGAAATACAAATCTCATTACTGCCGCGAAAAAACTAATTCGAAATATTTGGCTCCAAATTTAAATCTTAATTTTATATATGAGTTGTACAAAGAAAAATACCCAGAAGGCGTAAGTAAATCAACGTTTAAAAATATATTTTACAAAAAGTTTAATTTAAGGTTTAAGAAACCTCAGAAAGATACCTGCAATAAATGTGATATTTTTAATGTTCAGAAGAAAAATTTGACTGGTCCAGAATTGGAAAAAGTGGAAAATGAGCATCGAGTCCACTTAGATAAAGCGAAATCTCTTAGACAACAAATGAAAAAGGACATGAAAGTTGCCACTATAGACAACACAATTGAAACTCTTACGTTTGATCTCGAAAAAACCAATTGTTTACCTAGACTACCGACGAATATTATTTATTATAAAAGACAATTGAATCTCTACAACTTTGGAATTCACCAGGCGAGTAATAATCAAGGCTATTTTAATATTTGGTTGGAACATGAGGGGGGAAGAGGAACCCAAGAAGTTGGATGCTGTCTCAAAAAATTTATATTAAACAATTTAAGAAATACTACTAAAGAATTAATTTTATGGGCTGACTCATGCGGTGGGCAAAATAAAAGTATTAAATTAGTTTTAATGCTTTTACATCTGCTTTTGAACCATGACAAGTTAGAAAAAATAACAATGAGATTCCTTCAACCAGGACACACATTTCTACCGAATGATTCAGAGTTTGGAGACTTAGAATGCGCGTTAAAGACACATAATCGTCTATATACCGTTGATGACTACATTAATGTGATGAAAAGTTGTCGGCGTAAGAATAAATTTGTAATTAATAAATTTTGTAGCGAAGATTTTCAATCTGTAGAACCATTATTACAAGCTATTACGAACAGGAAAAAGGATATCAACAAGGAAAAAGTATACTGGCAAAAAACATTTCAGATCGAAATGAAGAAATGTGAACCTAACAAATTATATTTCAAATCTGATGTAACATCTGAAGAGGTTCAAACAGTTGATATAGCCAAAATAGGTAGGCGGAGACAGGTTTCATTTAAAGATATTGAGCTACCACCATTATATCCCAGAGGTAGAACTTTGTCTGTCGCTAAAATAAAGGATCTCAAAGATATGTTAAGCCTTATTCCAAACGATGCAAAGAAATTTTACGGTTTCTTAAAAGTTACAAGGAGTTCAGAGTTTGACGACGATGTCGATGGTTTTGGAGAAATTATAGACTTTGATGTGTTGCAATTTGAAAATGAAACCGAAGAATAATAAGTATTTGTCTGATAAAAAAGACTAGGTAAATATTACCTAATTATAAGTTACCTACCTAATTACTTTAAAAGAAAATCATTATTATTGAGAATAAAAGACTAAATTTGTTACTATTGTCAGATAAGACTATTAAAAAAATCTTAGTAAGATAATTTAAAAATAAAGTCTAAATATCTAATATTTATAAGACATGATTATGTTTACAATAAATATTAGTGCCTGAGTAAAACAATACTTAGTACCTACTTTGTAATCTCAAGACTGATTAATATCTAAATAAATGGAACTTAAATAATAATATTTTCGTTTTTTTTATCCTTTATATACTCATTGTTTATTTCATAATTAAATTTGTTAAAAGATTTCAAGTACACTTGATGCTGTTTAGATGCAAGTTATTAATCATAGCGAGTATATGCAGAAAGGTGTTGAACGTATTTTATTATTTTCTAGTAAAATGGGATATTATAGCAGAAAATTATCATCATTTATATAAAAATAGATTAGCCTTCTAGTTATATGCAAAATCTCAATTCAAACGTTTATTTATACACGAAGTTATACCAAAATAAAAATTGGGCGGTTACAAAATCTTTGATGCCTAATATCTCAAAATGACGTTTATGTCAGTTGAAACCTTTCTGCTTAACAGGGTCCAATTGTAGATCTTATAAATATCTTCAAAAAAGTCCGCGACACACTATACCTATCTACGTCGAGTGCGGCACAACAACCATTTATTTATTTAAATATCTTGTTTTTTTTTTGGTATACATTTAAACGCGTTTATTTTATTTCATCACTAAGTACAGTTTATGTAGATAATATTTGGTCTTTGAATTATTAAAATTGGACGTTTGGTTTTGAAGTTATGGCAAAATTAAAATATTACGATTTCTGCTGCACGGCCCGTTGCGAAATGGGAGTGACCATGGCGGAGGTGAGCGTGCAAGAGGAGAGTTCAGATCTATGAGTAAGGTACCAGCGGCCACGCGGGCGAAGCCGCTGGCGGAAAGCTAGTCCTTAATAAAATAAACTTATGAAACCATTTTTGAATTATGAGTAATTATATGCGATTTGTTGGTGTTACCATTTGTATAATCATAAGAGTTCCTAATTCCTAGGAGTCGAGAATTATTTTAATTATAAATATAAACTTGCTAATATCTGGTAACATTTACTTAAAAAGTAATTATATTCAGTGCAATTATTGATATGTGAGTTTCTGCAATTATACAATATTATAATCAATCAGTAGGTAATTACACTAATATTATGTAGTAATACATTATTAGCGATTCTCGATAAGTATGTAAAGCCAATGACCATTGAGAGCGTGAACCGATTTAGAATGAAAAGGACGTCCTTTTCATTCCAAATCAGCTTGATTATACTATTCCTGGTGCTTTGATTTCCTACTGGGAAATAATTTAAAAAATATATATTTTTAGGGTTTTGCAACTCAAAAGAAAATACCAGGGCCCTTGTGGTATCACTTGGTTGTCTGTTTTTCTGCATTAAATTTGGATACACATCATGGCTCAGTTATGCTGTTTTTGACATTCGCAGGCAGGGTACCCAGCAATTGTTGTTCCCTTTTGTTGAGGGTTGAGTTGTGGTTCCCATTTTTTATTTATAAATCAAATATATCCTTTCATATTTAGCCATTCTGTACTCAAATCAGCATACTTCCATGAAACCCTCTGTCAGATTTGCATCAATCATTAATTACACTGAGCAGAGACCATTAAATTTCTAATTACTTACAGTGTTCCAAACATATAGAAGGATGTGCACTATGCCATATGCTAGCCAAACACCAAATACAAGTGGCTTATAAGTAAGTTCCAGTCTGGTAACTGCCCAACCTTTTGCCAACAATAAGAGCAATAGCATAAACAATGTCTGGAAACAATAAGATTTAATCAGTTTTCTTTCTATGTTCTTAAATAGAAATATAAAAATCAGATTACTGAGGAACCCAATTGTATTAAAATAAAAATGTGATGTTAAATAGATTTGATTTTCATTATAATTTTCCAATAATCAGTAATTTAAATATGTTGCAGCCAATTGGTTAAACCAGGCATTAAATTGGGTGGCTATTATTTTATTTGAAAAGCCACCCAATCAAACGGCTAGTTTAAATAATTGGCTGCAACATATCCATAAACATTTGTAATCCATGGGTCTATTCTATTTAAAAAAAGAGCTTAAGCATTTAATTTTCTTAAAAAGAGAAAACATAATTTAATTTATTCTAATATAAGTTTAGAAAAATTTCATTGTTTTGAAAAACCTTTATTAATTTTCTCACTTACACGACTCATTATATCAAATATATCACCAGCCACTGATAAGTCAAGGAAACCCTCTCCATCAGCAGCAAACTTCATAGTGTGCAGTACGTTGAAGCACAAAGCAATAAACTCAAGGACAAGACTGAAGGTGAATAACTTTGTCACTGGATGCTTTTGGATTCTAAAACAGTAATGAAAATGTTAACAAACTATTGGAACATTTCAACTTATATTTCAGATATTTTTAGCAAAAAAATTAATTACATTTCTCAATAAAAAGTTATTATTGTTAACATAAAGCTGAGCTATGAGTATTCCAGGTCTATCTTTTATCTTTAATACACTTGAATTTATTAGATAGTCTAAGAGATATATTTTTTTTAATTTATTACCTGACAGCATAAATTTGAACTGGCAGCAATATGACATAGCATAACCAGAAAACCAAATAGAATTCCAATGTATTCTGTCTATCAAATGAAAACTGATAGAGAAGAGTATTGTAGAAGGACAAATTAGGACTTCCATTCACCAACCAGAAATCATACTGTATGGTTTGTGGTATGTTAGTCAATGTTTGATTGTCTTTTAATGGTGCCCCACTGTAGTGATGCCATGAACACGTTGTCTCGTTGAGGTAACATGCTACCATTGAAATGTACCAAAATCTGAAAAGACATTATTTACTTAATACAAAAAATATTTTTTGCTTAGGCAATAACATAACAAATTAACAAAATAAAAAACTACTCATAGAATACCCATAATTTATTTGCCCTTTTCTAAATAAGTTATTTGGGGTCAGCTTCTTGATCAGCCATCAACTCAAAATTAACCATGATTGAAATATAAAAAATATTACTATTGACATTCCATAAGTTTTAATGTAACATAAGTTTTCTGAGAAAAATATTTATTTACCTAGGTTGACCAGTGTTCTCTATAACATATGTGAATTGGTTCTTCTTTATCACATTCCAAGGAGTATCTTCATCAATACACAGCTCACCTTTACGGCAGGGTATCCGTCTAAATAAATCCTGGCCATGTGGGTTACATTTTGGATGAAAGGCAGAACTGTTTAAATTTTCAAACATTTCCTGACAAGCTAACTCTTTATTTGTAATATGTCGGCTTTTATAATAATGTAAAAAGTTTCTTCCATCTAAAACTGCGAAAGTTATTGGATACTTAAAACGCTCATTGGATGTGATGTTGCCGAAAATGTAGCCATATGTTTCTTTCGGGTAATGAATATCAGTCTTCTGGAAGCCAAACTTCACGAGAAACGTGAAGAAATCTTTCGTAGAAAACTCTCCCTTGATATGAGTTGATGTTACAACCAAAAATAGGGAACAAATCAGCACGATTAAAGTTTTGTTAAACATCATTATTTTATTTTATTGTAAGCTCATGCAAAAACTACATTTCCAAATGCTCAAGTAACTGAATCAATTTTCATAACATTTCCCGTTACAAACTTGTGTTTCCAAACTCATGACACATTTTATAGACATAGCACAATTAAATTATATTCCTCAATTTCCTTACGAAATCTGGAATTTCAAGACAACACCATCAAAAGCATTTTTGTACAAAAAAATCAGGTCTGTCATATAGGGATGCAAGGATAGAATATATCGGATAACCGATAAATATATTATCGTTATATCAATGCCCTTAAATATTGATATATGCGATATCGAAAAACAGCGATATAGATAAAAAATATCCTAATATAGAACGGAATCCTAAAAGTAAATATTTGTCAGTTATTGATATTATATGATAATAAATAATTTTTAAACTGTTTCATCGTATTTATATTTAATTTTAGACATTTTGGTTCCTTTACAGGTTCCATCAGTCACCATTAAGGTACTTTATTAGTATTTCTTACTTTATGATACACAGTATGAATTCCTAATGAGTAATATATCTAAGAAGGCTAGTTTATAGTTTGTAAAACGCGTCAAGCCTACCACAGTCAAATATCAACCTGCTGTACTTTCATTCATGAAAGGTGTGACAGATAAGAATTAAGATTGGAAGGATTATGAAGCTACTTTAAGCCACCGAAGAAGACCAACTAATTGTTAAGACCTGTCAAGTGGAAATGACAGGTCTTAACAAGTTGCAGGTGTTACAAATTAGACTAGAATGCGACTTTGGGCTCTTATATATCAGTCAAATGAAGAGGAGCATAGGAACTCGCGTTAGAGAAACATGTAGCTGACGTTAAACATAGACACGAAAATAAATTTGCAGTGTGTGAACATGCGTTACGAGGACCCAAGCACTATATAAGATTTGATAACCCAAAAAACTTGCGGCTGAATAAAAACGCAATGATATTAAAACGAGGAAGTATTTAAAAAATAAAAATTAGTTCTTGAAACCATATGTATTTCTTTATTTTTTTTAATACTTCCTCATTAACAAACATCCAAATTTTAATAGTGTTAAAGGCTGGCATATACCACCGGCTTGGGATCCAGTAATTAATCAAATAAAATCTCAATCCAGATCACACATTGCAATACTAAAAGATACAGTTACTTCATTCTGTATATATTAAATTAAAGGAAGCAATTTACTTTTACTTGTCGGAGGTTGTTTCGCCTGTTCTTCTCAAATAAAACTTCCAAAGTTGGAACTGCTTATAGATTAACAAGTCAAATATATCTTTAACATAATTTAATTTATTTTATTACATGTAAACGTCGCCATAATATATAAAAAAATGTACTGTGAATGTGTATTGGTTTTTGAAGGTATCTATACTTTCAATAAAAAAGGCAATCTACACATTAGTCTTGTGTGAACACGGAGCTTATAAAAGGTCCGAAACGACTAAAACTAAATACAAACGCGATAAAGCGATGAACCGCAATCTATTTAAAGTGGCAAAAGATATTTTCCCATTCTTAACAGGAGCATGCCTTGTGAACGCCTTTCTTTAAAAGCAACACGCATAGAATGACAAGATTGAGGAATGCTTTGTCTGCACCAAAAGTTATGTTTCTTGGGCCGAGATTGAGATATGATATCGATTCCATAAAAATCCGAACCAGACCTGCGATTCTGTAAAAATCCAAACCCGAATTCCAATTCACTCAGTTGTCCGAATTCACTTCAAAAAGGGGCATCCGCACAACCTTGAATTGGTAATAACGTTTCGTGGCATAAGTGAACTTGCCCGCGGGCATACCTGTCTAGTGAATTCCCCGAGTTTCCAAGAGGCACCTCGAGAGTTCAAGTATGACCTAGAATTAGCCCAAATCAACTTATCTGCCAAATATTCCGAACCCTATTCAATGCTACATCGAACAGCAAACTCGCAAGATGTAATCCATCCTTAACACATTGGCTATAATGAGAAAAGGTGTGATATGCATTCTTGGAGCCACTGTAAAACAAAACTAGCACAGGTATTCTGTATTACCCTTTTGGTGTATCGGTTTAGTGAATCAAAGTTGATATATAGATATTTTTATAAACCTTCATTTTTACTGTCATCACCTGCTGAAAAAATAACGATATTTTTTGAATTATTGATATATTTGGCGAAATATATCGATTTGACACTATAGAAAATAAGTTACATTTTGGGGTCATCCTGATAGATAATAATCTAATAAAGCTTATTTCTTAACATTAGCGGAAAAAACATGTTTAGATTTAGTAAAATTAAGTAAAAAAAATGCAATATTTTTAGAAATTTATTCAACGACGAAAACGTCTTACAATAGGGATGATGACTAATTTTTGTTTGTTTGTCCGTCAGGTAGAGTGTTTAAAAAGATTAAACACGTATTTTTTTATTTTTTTCGTATTCATAAAATTACGGCGTTACATTGAGTTGAAATTTCGCATGACGTCACGTTAGAGTACGTTTTCTACTCAACTGTGACGTAGCGAGCCCCCACTCCTCAACTTTAATGCGTGTTATCTAAGCTATTTCTTGTTAAATTGAAGTAAAAAAAAATACGTATCTAATATTTTTCTATTATCTGACGGACGGACTAAATAGAATAGCATTTTTTTACCCAGTCATCATCCCTATTGGTCGTCGCCACAACCAATCACGATTCTGTTTACTGACCTGTGACGTCATCAGCTGACATGTCAAACAAGATACATAAAATATCGATGCCTGTAGGTATCGAGTACTTTATAGTAATTTACTGATAATAGAATACTTTGCCGCTTCTGCTGAGAAGAACTGCCAAAAAGAAATACAGAAAGAAAGAATCATTTACTAAGATTGTTAAAAATCCAAGAAATAGGGAAAACGCCTTGAAAATAATTCAAAATTACAAAGTGGATTTTGATGATATATACTGTTCTCCAAGTTAAAAATAAATAAAAAATATTATCGGGATCTGATGTCTAATTATCAAGTGCCATGCATTTAGTGGTCAGACATACTACATGCATGTATTAAAACACAGTACATTCTTTTTCGTACTAATGTAGGTCGACTGGCTGTAAAATGCGAGCCCTGTTAACAAATATAAAAAAAAAACAAAATGAAAACCTTCAAATGTATCGATATGAAATAAAAAAGTTTCAATACTTTTAGCGAATCCTTACCTTATTTTATCACCCAACTCTACTCTATATAGCTACTATAAAATTGTGATTGTATATCTATTTTCTTCTAGACTCGAAGTTTGTTTGTTATTTATAGAAGTATTAGTACATTGTGGCACTACGCACCACTTGTAGCTCATTTTATAAAGAAAAGTAAAGGAAAATAAAAACGTAACAAATACGCACTACGACTTCAATTTTTCTTCTAAATTATTAGTTCAATTTACTATAAAGACAGCTGTTACTTGTCGATTTGACATATTTACTGTCCTGTGACGTCACGATCAGCGCCATTACATAGAGCAGCGTTTTTCGCGCGAATTTGGCTATTTAAATTTTAATAATTATTTTCACCAAAAATAGAAAATATTCCAATAAAATAACAGTGTGCTTATAATGTAGCAAACAACGATTTGAAATAGTTTTCAGAAAAGTGTCAAATACCCTATTGATTTTTTGTTCTTATAACGTCGATTAGGTACATACCACAGACTTAGTAGGTATCAGACGACCAACTTCCTAACAAAAAATTTCTTCGTAGAACGTGATTGGGAGCCAGTGATACATGACAGCTTCATTCGTTTTAAATATATAGATCTACTATCGGCAAAGGCATTTAGCTATACAGCCCTGTTTTGGGTAGGTACCTAGCTGTATTCCTAGTTTCCACATTATTTTTACTTTAATTTAAAATTCCTTTTTTGTTTTAATACAACAATAACAATAAAGCAGACTGATAAGTGTAGCTTATTATTATTGTTGTATTAAAACAAAAAAGGAAAACGAACACGTAAATGAAACACACATTTTTCCAACATTATTTATTGAATAATTTATTTTTTAACTTATTATATTTTTCACAGCTTTCTTCTGCATTCTTGGCAATTCTTAGCTACGATTTTTTAGTGGCACAACCTTCATTTTTTTTAAAGAGGGCACTGATATTTACATACCTTTTTATACACATATTTAAGTTTTTCTAAAACTTTAATTGCCTTTGGCCAGAAAGAACGATGCTCTTTTCCTTTATGCTTTTTTTGTTTATCGATGCTCCATTGACACTATCAAATAATTGGTCAAAGAATGAAACAACTTCAGCTGTATTTCTTAATGTTGTGCTGACGGGCCTGCCATCCACATAAGTTGCTGCAAATTAAAATATTTATACAATAATTGTATGAAACTTGATTCAAAACTATTAACTGTTAGTAAATTTCATCTAATACTCACAGAACTTTCTAGTGTAAGACAAAGCTGCAGACATATTTTTACACAATTTTTTACCTGCAAAAAAAGATATCATATTTAAAATTATCTTCATTAGAGAATCATTATTGTACTTTAAGTGTAAACTATATTAACTACTTGTTACATAATTAAAAATACAGGTCATTGAATCAACACTTGCTCTGATAGAGAATATAGAAGCTGAATACAAATTATTTCTTTTATTTATACTAATTTAAGTTATACTAATATAATAACCAGTAGCGGCGTTAGGGTAGGGCGCGGTTGGGCGACCGCCCAGGGGCGCCGAACGAAAAGGAGCGCCGCGGCCTGCAGCCTTTTTCGTCCGGCGCTTCTTTCTGATTCTGTATAAAGAGGAAGTATTTAAAAAAAATTAAAGCACTACAAAAATACTTCCACCTAGATGGCGACTCTATCAAAAGTTGATTTTTGCAGGAAACGAATGGAACAAAGACAGTCATTCCCGTTCATTTTAACTAACATATTAAAAAATTGAAATTTGAAAAGTTCCAAACTTAGATATCAATACAAATACGAAAAAGTACAAATAGAATATGAGTTGTTAATTGAGTTTTGAAAACTAATTTACTTTTAAACATGAAAGAAAACTGGAAGGGTTGTCATGGAGAAATCAAGAACATACCGTAGCGACATCTAGTTTGATTTCGGGAACTAATGATTTTTTTTCTAATACTTCCTCATTTCCCACAGACGCCCTTATACTTCTTATAGCTCCCTTGCTCATTGAACAAGGCCTATTGGGTCGGCGAAAAAATAACAAGAACCTTGAGGATTTTTTTTGCCTCGCTTTCAGCATGAATTGAAAGGAAACTTAACAAGAAAAATATTATATTATGGTAAAACAGAACAACATACCGATTACCAATATGAAGATATGTATTTTATTAGGTAATATGACGTACATTGGCGGGCATTATCGCTCGGTCATTTAAGAAAATTTTCGTTTGAGCATGTTTAAACGTTAAGCTGAAGCTAAAATGCTACAATACAAACGAATGCATCGGCAGTAGAGCCTCTGTCTGGCAAGTCAGATGGAATAGCTAATATTATGGAATAGATGGAATAGCAGATGCTGCTCAGGATAAATCTGTTATTTATGTACAACAAATACATGTACTAGATGATGTTGATACTGTTGTCCCGAATATAGCGGATCCAGCTACTTGTCCACTTATTCGAAATAGCAAAATAATTGATAATATAATAAGTAGTGGCCCACTGCAAACTCACTGTCACAAAGTTACAACAATTACACAAAGTTATAGATAACAATTATGTGATACCCTGTTAGGGTAAAATTGAATCTGTACTTACCTAATGATGTGATCCATCAAAAATGAATCAGCTACTTATACGCTATTTATATGTCTACTTTTTAAATAAAACTAATGTCACTATATAGTTGGAACAAGAACTTCGTAACGTAGCGTTAAACGTTTGATTATTGTGTTTGTTTGTTTTAAAATAATCGAATAATTGTTTTAAGAGCGTCCACTTATGTCAAGCAAAAACATTATTGTTGATTGTGTTCTTCTTCGTCAAAAATTAAAAGAGATAGATCTAGGGAATCCCCGATTATAGAAAAACACATTGTTTCTGTATGGTCGGAAAGTCGGGGATTCCCGAGAAATTAAACCGATTGAACACTACTTTCCATTCTAATGCTGCCAACTTAACAATCTACCTAAATTTAGGGAAGATTACAAGTAAGTAGGCCGGGTTGGCGAAAAAAAGACAAGTAACTGATTTGTAGTATGTAACTGATAGTAATTGAATTGCAGTTAGAGGGCGCCGAAGAAATTTCGTCCAGGGCGCCAGAAGTGCTAAAACCGGCACTGATAATAACCAATGCATTACCTTCATCATTTTAATTTTATCAGGTATAACTCATTGGTCATTTAATTTATGACGTAGCCTAGCTTCAGTGTGTTGACAGTCTGTCTCATAGACATAAATAATATCATGCCATTTTGCAAGTTTACTATCCAATATTAAATTTTTTGTTAAAAAATTGTTCCTGATGCATTTTATCAAGTGTATAGAATCATAATGTTCAAATCCACGCCACATATTTTAAGAATGCCAACTGAAACAAAAATTTAAGAACTTCTTAAAACATAGATAACAATATAAAAATAAGAACCTTCACTACTTTCATTAAATCTATTAGTTTTCTTTCATATAAATATAATTCTCTGTACCAACCTGTGATTTCAATTCAAAATTTCATCACACTAAGTGTCTTCTTTTCGATTTTTGAGTGCTGATTGGAAAGCTGAGCTTTGGTCATATATTATTGCGATGGGATTAAGGTCCAATTCAACAACTTTTTCTACTAACAGCTTTAAAATATTCTTGATGTAATACAGTAGATGTCGCTCCTTGACAGAAATACTAACATAAAGGCTGTTGCCACTTGTAAACAGCACCAACATAAATACAAGAGTATGATCTGCAAAATCCACTTTCTTTTCTTGGTGTTCTACAAATCCATTAATGTTATCTTTAATTCTTATTACTTTTATTATACGAAAGTGCTGTTTCTAATGATATCTCATCAAATATAATGGAGCATATTTTTTTGAAGTTTCATTTGTCCATCTGAAAAAGTAAATTTAAATAGGTAAGTACATATTATTATTTGGTAGTAATACAAGAAATTATAAAAGAAGTATGAAAAACCTTATATGGAATATATTTACCTCTTACATGAAGCCTGGTTCTATGATTGATTTTCTAATCATAGTATTCAGTATAGTTTTGGATGATAAAATAAAAAATTTTGCTTAAAAATCAATAACACTTTGGACTCTGCTTTGATATTGATAAAGCAATTATCTTTCGGTACTGAATCACCTCTCATGTTTATTTTTAGAGCATATGCTCACTTGCATTTCAAAAACATTTTTTGCAACTGTGTTCATTTTTTGTCGAAACTTTTCAAATGATAATTTTTTACAAAACTTAAAAGGTATTTAAGTATTCTTAACTTTATTATGAAAGTTCAACTACGTCTTTGGCTTGTTATATTCTTCATAAATTCTCTGGTATAAAGGTGACAATTGGCTTTATTTGGTAATAAGCCTTTTCCTTTTTGTTTGGGTACATTTCACAGGGTCTGTAACATCAAAAGTATTCAGTGAATTTCTCTATTAGAACTACTATTTGATTGAAATAAAGATACACTAAAGAAAGAGACAGGTCTTACCAGATAATTTAGTTTGTGTCATATTTTAATCTCCAGAGCAAGCAACTAATTGAGTAAACTCAGTGGCTGCAGACACAGGAGTCTCAATTTGTTCTTTTAAAATTACACCACCTATGAAATCAATATTGATTATGTGTGTAAGATTAAAAAACAGGATATAATCTTAGATGATATTAGAAATATGTTATTTATATTATCAATTTATTCTCTGATCAAAATCACTTCTAGCATGCCCGCTATAGTTAAGTAACTTAATGTAATTTTTCTTGTGTAAGAAAGAGAGATCTCCTAGACTTTTTTAAAGCAAAAAAAACTGCAGCATGAACTTTGTTATCTAAATAAATTAAAAACAAACCTCTGCTCAGTTCTACTTTCTAATATGTGTGGTCAACATGACTTTTTCTTGCTTAGCTGTGTTCCCAAGTGAATATAATTTCTGTAATAAAAAAAATCTAATTAAGAATAGTGGTATTCCAAAACACAACATAAAGTGAAGATACATATCATTTTAATTACATTATCTAAAGGTAATAGCAGATTAAACCAGCCTTACCAGTATTGCTTGAAGAGGGTAGGCTGATTGAGAGCCCATCATCATTAAACAAGGACGGATATGCATCACCCAAGAGTCATGATTTTGGAGTGATGAATCTTGGTACATCGTGTTTGCTACAAATGACACTTCTGCCTGGATTAAAATTTTCAGTATCACACACAGCACTAAGACATTGTTACCACTTAGAGAATCTTTTCTCGTTCACTAGAATCTTACAAAGAATAGCGTCCTGTTCGTACTTTAACAATGCGTGTAACACAACCATAACACAACACACCAATTTCTTAGGCATCTTCTACAAATAAAAATACTTCGAAAAATGGAGAGTTTATATTACAAATAAAGCGAACAGGGAACACAAGCAAGCACTAAAGAAACTTTACTCAATCACTTGTAATTCCCTGATATGTAGGTACATACTTTAGTCTTCTTCTTCTTTTATTAATGGCATATCTGCGCATTTCACACAATTTTGCCAATGTGAAATGAATAAATTAATTCCAACAAGTAAAATTAATTAAAGACTAATTAAAACATTAATATCTTTACTCTTTGTTGTAATGACAATTTCTGTCAGGTGTCAGTCATGTCTCCATCTACTGACAGGGGTGAGGGGCGTGAGGAAATGTCATACATCACTGGACCCCTACGCGATTGGTTTATTGTACCGAGTTGACGGGCCGTGGTACATACGTACAACGTTGCATCTTCTTCTTCTTCTTTTATTAATGGCTTATCTGCGCATTTCGCACAATTCTGCCAATGTCAAGTGAATAAATAAATTTCTACATGTAAAATGAAAATGAAATGAATGAAAGATGGCGATGATCTCTTTGAAACGTTGCATTCTACCTTCGTTTTGAAGTGTCAAAAGAGACCTCTTATGATGACGAAAATGGCAGGGTTGACAGAACATTTAGAACATTTATGAAGGGTTAGAGATCTATCTACTCTTTAGGATAGACATAGTCTGTGATACGAATAATGGCGGATGTCTCTCAGTCTCATCCTCAGTGAAATGTATTAGTTTTTTTTAGTAATGAAAAGAAGAAGATATTGCGATTAGGTCTTTAAATCTACTATTGAAGTTTAATTTAAGTGCTCTACTTCTTTAAATATGTTACGTCAAGAAATCGGATGTTTAAAGTGCCATAGCAACTATCTACCAACTCGCCCATTTCCTTTGTGATCTAGATATACTATAGGAAGTGGTGGTAATATTTTTGGTGCAGATGTATTAATTGTGTTACGTGAAATAAAGGATATTTAATTTTCTTCAATAATCTTTTTGATAAAATGTATAAGGTGTAATAATAGAGAATATAAGTGCTTTAACCTCAAATGCGGAAATAGCCGCCCTGATTTTGTTACCTTTTCTTCTGAAATAAGATTATCCCTGTTATTACAATACATACCATTTTCAAACCTATATATCAAAATATTAAAAAGTCAGTAAGCAGAGTGATGATGAAATAATAATGGTCGAAATAGGAGTACCTCAACAACAATCAGCTGAGGAGAGCTTAGAAAATGCAGAATGGTTTTGGGGCGACATCACCCGGTAAGTTTTTTGATCCTGAAAAACGTTGGAAACTTGTTTTGTTCCCTCTTGTTTGTGCCTTTAACAATTGTCTAAAATATTTCTTAGGTTATCATATAGGCAGTAAGTGTTCTTTGTGACTTTCAATTATTTAGTAGTCAAGTATCTTTGAGATTTTCAATTATTCAGAGTAAAGCATCTGTATAACACTGTATATTATTAAATATACTGTGTTCATGGAAATTAAATGATTTAGAAACCACAACATTATTTGATATTAAAAAAAGAATTGTTTATTACTCTATTTTTATTTATTTTACCATTAACCTTAATAAATATATACTAGTGTGTCATGATGGAATTACAATTTATTATACAAATTTCATCATCCAGTGCAAGTTATTGTATTCAAAGAGTAACAATCTGTTTAATTATGAAATCTTTTTCTTACCTTATTTCTTCTTAGTTCTATGTTAAAGTAATTGGTAAAACTGTACAATATCTCCCCCACAAATTTAGGGTTTATGTTGGTGGGGGATATTTTGGTGGAGGGTAATTCTTGTTTCATTCTTCCACCTAAACACCCCCTCAACAGAAATGCATAGTTGCAGAAATATTCATGATTGGAGTTTGTGGTTGTATGAGTGCAAAAATACTCATGTTATGAACTTTTGTGTAATATATGAATTGAAAACACTGTCCATTCTGTGCTTAAATGTTAATTCATTTAAAAAATAGTGTAATATAAAAAACAAATCTGATTTAGGGGTAATTAAAAATAAAACTATAAAGTTCTAAGCTAACCTTTCCTGGTAGCAATACATTTTATTGGGGGTTGCAGTTTAAACCTTACCTAACCTACTGCTCTGTTAGTGGCTCGTCTTTGGCAGTGATTGGTTTTACCTATTACTCTAGTAGCATGTCATACGAGGGTCAAACTGAAAGTTCTTAGAACTGGCCACTTATAAACAATATAATAAAAAAATAATTCTAAAATTTGAAAATATAACTCTTTGCCAATATTACTGAGTATATATTTCATTCATTTGTCATTTGTTTTACGATTTGGCGGCAAATTGAAAATTGTCTGTGTCACGTCATCATGAATTTAACACGAGAAAATTTTCATGCAATGATTTTTTATGACTTTCGATGTCATTTAAGTCAACAAGAAAGTTATGATAGACTACGATTGGCCTTTCACGATGAAGCCCCATCTCGTGCGACTGTTTACAACTGGTTTAATGAGTTTAAACGTGGTCGCACTAATCTCACTGATGATTTACGTGAGGGACGGCCTTCTACGGCGACGACTGAAGATAACATCTGTGTTGTGCGGCGTATGATAGAGACTGACAAAAGAGTGACCTATCAACAGATTCGGACAAGCTTAGGCATCGGTATGAGTCAAGTGCACAAAATCCTCCACGAACATTTAGCGGTCAGGAAGCTTTGCGCCCGGTGGATACCTCATAATTTGACTGAGGCTCAAAAACTCCATCGTGTGGATTGGTGTCGTAAAATGATTGAAAGATTTAACGGAGGTGACTCAAATGCTGTGTTCGACATACTAACAGGTGACGAAAGCTGGATTTACTGTTATGATCCTAAAACCAAAAGACAATCTGCTCAGTGGGTGTTTCCTTTCGAGGAGTTGCCAACTAAAGTGAAGAGAGATCGAAGTGCGGGAAAAAAAATGGTGGCCTCGTTCTTTGGAAGGATAGGTCATTTTGCAACAATTGTGTTAGAGGATCAAAAAACAGTTTCTGCAGAATGGTACACTACCAATTGTTTGCCACTTGTCTTGGAAAAAGTTCGAGAGAAACGACCTCGCAGTAGGATCCTCCTTCACCACGACAACGCCTCGTCGCACACCGCCAAGCGAACGATCGACTATTTGGCGACATCAAACGTTGAATTACTGGGTCACCCGCCGTATAGCCCCGACCTCGCGCCTTGTGATTTTTATTTATTTCCAAAAATTAAAGAAAAACTTAAAGGAAAGCGGTTTATGAATGCTGAAGAAGCGGTGGCTGCGTATCGCGATGCCATTGAAGAGACCCCTAAGGACGAGTGGGCAAAGTGCTTTTCCCAGTGGTTCCATCGCATGCAGCGGTGTATTGACGTGAATGGACAATATTTTGAAAAGATATAATAAAACTAAAAACTGGCTAATGTAATCAGTTTTTGATTTTCTAAGAACTTTCAGTTTGACCCTCGTATTTGATAGCCACCTATTTATTTTTATCTTTGGTGCTGTAGGCTCCTTCGTGCCTTTGGGTCACAATGTTTCATAGTTTTGTAGATTAATTGATAATTAACAAGTTTGAAGCATGTTTATTTTATTTAACATAAATTTGCTGTATCCAAAGTTGCCTTTGTCTCCACCCCAAATAAAAAAATCAAACTAGTCAAATATTTTCAATTGTGGTTGAAAATTGTTAATTTTCAATATATTTTTCCAAAAAACCTACAAGTGTTGCAAAATCCTCTTTTATGTATTTATAAAACTATCTTAGTTATAGTGATGTTTGCTTTTGTGTTGTCCTTTTTTAAGCAGAGAAAGAACAATTCCAAAGTAGAACTGGTTAATTCTAACTACCATTCAGTCTCTCGAGTCTCATGTCTCTCTCAACACGGGATGTTGGCAGAATTTCTGTGTATAACGGAACAAAGGCCATAACTAAAAAAAAACCTTGAACTTTTTTAATTGAAACTGCACAACTATGTCTTTATTAAAGATGTTTTCACCAAAAATTACCAACTTTCAAATTGTACAGTTTAGCCAAGTACTGTAATGTTTAAATAATGTTAAATGTATTACTTTGAATGGTTATAGAGAATTAAAATATATTAATTCTATTTATTTATAATTGCAGAGATGAGGCATATGAAAAACTCAGGGATACATGTGATGGTACATTTCTAGTCAGAAATGCTTCAAACAAAGACAGTGGATACACATTGACAGTCAGAAAGGGTGGAACAAATAAATTGATCAAAATATACAATCAAGATGGCCGTTATGGATTTTGTGAACCCTATGAATTCACCTCAGTGGTGGCTTTGGTTGAATTCTACAGAGAATATTCCCTGGGACATTGCAATAGCAGTTTGGATATTAAACTTATGTACCCATTATCACGACTCCAAGAGAATGATGGAGGGGAAAATGATGAGAACTTGGAGAATAGATATAAAGAAATTCATAAAGAATATGTGTTAAAGACAAGAAATTTTGGTGAAAGATCATATAAATATATGAGGTTACGAGAAGAATTAAAATGTAAACGACAAGCTTTAGATGCCTTTAGAGAGACAATAAAAAAATGTGAAGAACATTTAAAATTACAAGAGAAAATGATATCTGAAGCCCAACCTCATGAAAAAAGTGGTCTAACTGAGAATTATAATGAGCTTATATGTCGATTAAATAGTTTGAAACAAGCTAAAATGCATCTGAATAATTTGTTAAAAGAAGCTATTGAATACAGTTTACTACTTGAAAGAGAAACCACTAAATTAAAATCTGAAGTTATGACTTTGTACAGTTCAAAAGAACGAAACAAAGTGTAAGTATTAATAACTAAAATTCAATTAATGTATTACTAATATGACAGAATAACTTTTAATTTTGGTTTAATAAATAGCTAGAGATATTTCAGTGATTGTTTTTAACATCTTATAGGTCACTCCTCCATTAGACTATAATTTTTTGTTTATTCATATTAATTTCTATTGAAAAAAATCCTATTTATTAATCAATTCATATGTTTGGTATATTACAGATGGTTGAAAAGGCGTGGTAAGACTGATGAATACCTGCAGGCCCTAGAGGATGACAAAACTCATAAGCTGGAGGAATTATACGCTCACCGTGAACCAATCAGTTGGAAACTAGATAACTATACTCGTGATATGGCTGAAAAACTTCTTGAAGGGAAACCTCAGGGTACTTTCTTGATTCGACCTAATTCCACTGGTGAACTTGCTCTGTCGGTGTGTTGCAATAACTTGGTGTACCACTGCATTATCTTTAAGACTAAACGAGGTTACGGTTTTTCAGAACCTTATAATATTTATAAGTAAGTATACAATGTTTTTTTATTAAATTGTGAATTTATTTATTTTAAAGATACAAGTTATAAGTATATTTCTTATATTAACCTTTCTGGAATTATTGGCTTTAAGAATATACAAAAAATAAAATTCCCAAGTTATAGATGTCTAAGAACTACCATATAATTAGTTGTACAATTTTATTCATATAATTAATTTTCTTTTCAGAACTTTGAGTGAGCTTGTATTACATTATGCAGTTAATTCTTTAGAAGTACATAATGAAAGTTTGAAAACAACATTAAAATATCCTGTGAATGCTCATTTGGTGAAAAAACCTGAAAAGAAACAACAGCAGTGAACGATTTTAAACCTATTGAAGAGGTAAGCTCGATTGTGGCACTAAATGACCGGTAAGGTAGTGTATGTAGCTTTATACTTTATTATTAAGAGTTTTTATGAAAACACTTTATTTGTCTTCTATTCTGTGAATAGATCAGCAGTGCAAGTGGATATTGTGTTATAATTTTGGATGAGTTGTGTGTATGTAATAACATACATAGAAGTGAAAAGATTCACTTGTGCAAGGTTATATGTATAAATTAATTTCTAATTATTATAGTAGATTTGACATGATGAATATTTGTGTTATTTTATTACAACTAGTTCATCGTGTTTAACAAATGTAAATTCTAAACTTTAATATTCATATTATCCTTTAAGTTATTTATTATAAATATTGTTTATTAAGGAACCAACTTCGTTATACATAATGAGTATACTCAAAAGGATTGTAGAGTATTTTCAAAATTATTTGTAAGACAAATAATCACGTCATTGTCATTATAAAAGTATCTGACAGTGCTGTAAAGTCAATGCTGAGAGAATCAAGTCATGTAAACACTTTTTTTTTATACTTTATTACATGTCTATATTTAGTTTTTAATGAGATATTAAATATGCATACGTTAAGTAGTTAAGTAAATTAATTATTTAAAATCAAACAGAAATATATTTCACATTACCACAGTTTTAGACAATTGATGTAATTCTAAGCCCATATTAATCATCTTCAACCGCGTCGAAAGCGGCGAAAGAAACCAATTTAAGAATAATTTCTATGAAGGCATATATATGAGGGTCCACACATCAGTACAAGCTGAAACGTCTGAACCCAAATTTACCTGTCATTCACTTGGCAGATCTAAAGATTTATTTTCATTCTCCTCCTGCGGGTGGGATTGATTTGCTATTAGTTTAGGAAGGTATCTTTCTGTGACATTTCTTTACACTATTTACATTTACATATAGTGATATCTGATTAAGAGCTAGGGGCCGTCCATAAATCACGTGATATATTTTTTAACCTCCCTCCCACTTATATGGTGAGGTTTAAGACTATCCCCCTCCCTCCGTCAACCAAATCACGTGTATTTAAAAAAAATAATCTTAATTTTTGACGTCGCTTTTAGGTTTAATAATCGCGCGTCGAGGAAAAAATAAATACACGTGATATATTACTACACCCACCACCTCCTTTGTAATATTTCGTGATTTTTTACAAATCCCCCCCCCCTCACGTAATTAATGGACGGCCCTTTATTTGAAAGCAATACTGAATGCAATATTGCACTTTAGTGCATTGTTGTAAAGTTCTTTATCGTTTTAACAGGTGTGATTTGACTATGATTTGCGTAATGGGATGATTCAGCAAATATCATTCATAATCCGATAATAGGTACGGACGACGCGTACGTCAAATGACATATACTCGGTACAGTTTTACAGCACTTATTCAATACAATACAATTCGAATTAAAAAAAAATGCGTCACCTTTGTCTATCTGCTGCCTATTGTTTTTTTTTCATTCCAGTATCTACTCGGTATGTATAACGAAGGCATTTAATTATACATGGTATGAACATATGAACATTCAATTAGGTATAATATTTCTGTTACTATAGTATACTACCATATCTTGGGCCTAAACAAACCAAATGATTATATGTTAGATAAGTTGGATTACAAATAATAATTATATTTATCTGGCTTTTTCAACCATAAGCCAAAATACTTAATAAAATTAACAATTACAGGCAATCAATCTGTTAGCAGTAAGTATCCTGCCTAAGGTAGTAGTTATTTATTTGATATTCATGCATGTTCAGTTAATAATATGATTATATGTATAATATATGATATATTTATTGATTCATAGGTACTATCTTTTTTGTTCATATTGTGATAGAAATGTGATAAAACTCCCATTTTTTTACCACATTATAGTTTACTTCGTACCAAAAGTTCTCAATTATCTGATATATAACATTAATTTTATATTTCCTTTATATTATTGAAATTGTGATCTTCCTTAATATAAGGAAGAAGTTTTTTTTGAAAAGAAGAAGGGGCCTTGAAAGATCGAATGATTTGAAAGTATAGTATTTGGAAAATTGAGTCAATGGAGATGGATGAATATATATGTATGTAATGTGATCATGTCTCTACATAAAATGAAGTCTGATTAAGATGAAAGAAGAAGAAAACTATACTACAAAAGCTGTAAGCTACTATAACAATTCGAATGATTTATTCTAGTTATTGTTTTTAACATCATAACTATGCACATTAAGTGAATAGACATAGATTCATATTGGATGTATCAGAAAAATATCCGGCTCTGACGAATGTAGAGCTGACATTATGAACAGTAGGCTGTTAATTTTTATTATCCTAAGGAAAATCAATGTTAAATACCGACCGAAAACTCGGCAAGCAAGGACTGCAACACATATAATTGGGTAAGTGAGCCAACACATTTGCTTCAATCATTTTATTGGATAAAGTCATAAATGAGAATGAAATTCCTTAACCTAATTATATGTGCAGCATGTCTAATTAAAAATACAGATTTAATATTTGTTAAAAACAAATTAGTGTGTTTTATGCATATTCAGTTATTGCATCTATTATATTGCAATAAATGTATCAAAAACTATAATAATGTATATACTTGTCTTTATTTATATGTAAAACATTAAATGAAAATTTTCTCTGATAACAATAATAATTTATCATACATTTCTCAATTTAATAAAAATAATAGATTGGTTCATATCTTTTAAAGGAGATGTTTTAATTTTACCTGGGACTAGCCTAGGTTTATGTGCAGTATATCAAAAAATATGAGATAAAGAAATGAGGAAATGTTGTATTTATTTATAATAATTTAACTTTATTTTCTATTTTGGGATTTATATTTTAAAATGAAATGGCAAACCAGTGTTTTGATTCATTAGTAGTAAATCTGTTGGTTAATTATTATCAAAAAATGCTGATAATATTTTAATATTATATTTCAGAGACAATACAATTATATTTCAGAGATTCCATACATTTCGTACAAAATGTATAGCCGAAAACTAAACGTCTCCTTTAAAGGTTTCTGACTAAAATGAAATGTATAAATACAATTGATTTGTGTGCAATATTCAATATTCAGTTCTAAAAATTCTAAAAAGTTTATATTTTTGTAATGTTTGTTTAGTTTTTGTGAATTGAAAAACTATTAATCACAAGTAAACAGATTTGTACAACCTAACTAAATTTATATATCCCTCCTCTCATAAATATCGAGGAGTTCAGCATGTTTAATTTTGCTAGTAAAGATTTAAAATATTACAATTATTTTTGTCATCAATTTTTCTTATTTCATTAAAAAAGAAATAGTATTTTCTTTGTCAAATTCTATGTCAAACATTCATTTAATAGTTATTTTTGGGGAAATAACTGTTTTGAAGATTGCATAACCTATTTAGGTACCTACTTTTTTGAAATTAACTTGTAGATCTTCCCACATAGTTAAATAACTTCAATTCATAAGTCAACTGTCAATTTGTTGTAATAAGGATGATGTATCATGTTGTAGACCTTAGGGGAAAATGGAAGTAGCGGTACGTTTGTTGTTATATAATACAGATGTATATTATGTTTCGGCAAAGTGGTAAATTAAAAGTAATATCCTTAATGAAAAATGCTTAAAAAATCCACTTTGGCTCTCTGGGATAGGATTGAAGCATTTTGCATTAACAATATTTTTCAGTAGTGAATGCAAAATTGATAAAAAATAATTAAAAATAATTTATTTACTTTAAACGTTTTTGGTAATTGTTACACCTTGCTTTTGGTATTAAAAATTTTAACTTTATGGTACGATTCGTGCAAGGTGCAGTTCTAACATACTTAAAACTTTGTACATGTAGAACGGGAAACTACTTAAATTTTCCTCTCACTACATTAAAAGACGACATTTACTTATTATATTTTCCTACAAAATTACGAGTTAATATTAATAACGACCGGTCATTATTAATACATAGACAATTAGTCGCCTTGATTGTGAATATGTTTTTAGATTTGACCACAAGTTTTCTGGATCAGGAGAGGATAGTTTTGTAAAAACGATGTATGAACTTTATCTTCTAAGATTGCTATTTTGAACTTATATTTTTTATTTGCCGTAGCATATTTTTATTGAAGCAGCACAAGTGGCAGGATTGTTTCATGTTTATTTGTAATTTAATGTTCAGAGAAGAGATAAGTCGAGAAGCGCCTTAGGAAAATAATTCCTAGCGCCACACCGGTTGTGCAAGAATGGGCTGAAAAAGTTCAACTTCTCTTTCAAGTCCGTGTGAAAATTATAAGTTGATTGTAATTTAATTGTTTATACATAATCTATTATGTCGTATTATGATCTCAATAATGGTTTTAATGTCTAATCTTATGCAATGGTTTCCTGACGCCATTAATGAAAAGTCAATAATAGCCAAAATAATCTGAATGCATAAGTAACATAAGACAAAATGTCGCCATTTTATAAAACATTGTAACAGTAGATTTAATAAGTGTTATTAAACAAATTGTCAATCATCCATGTTTTTATTTTGATATTTTTTTGGAATTCCGCACCTCAAAGCGCCCTTTGAGGTGCGGAATTATCTCCATCATCACCAGCCCTTTTACGTCCCCACTGCAGGGGCTCAAGCCTTCCTTATGGATGGTTAAGGAGGATGGGCCATGACCCTCCACGCTGGCCCAATGCGGATTGGAGGGTAACCATTATCTCCATAACGGAACCATATTACAAAAAAGGGTGTCGATCTTAAGACTCAAATCCACTATCATATAATCAAGTGAGTTTTCTTTTAAGATATGATTATGTAAAAACTTAAAGTAAATAAAATAGATTTGGTGAGACCTAAAAATCCATATTGAAGTTTATGATTATTTTAGGTCTGAGCCTGCGGCTTGACCCTTCGAGATTACACTTCGTATTTTGTGAATTAATCTTATTCTAGATCTTTTCACAGCCGTATGCGCCCTATCAGCAACGTTGCCGATCCATCGGGTACACTGTAAATTGGGTAGTCTAATCGCAGTTAGAGAGTTAGGCGCCTATTACACTACCCAATCTATCGAGCACGATATATCGGCCGCGATTTAGGGCGGTTGGTGTCGTTGTGATTACACTGCACTAGATCGCCTCCCTAACTCAGTTGGCATGCAAACGTGGCGTTGAAAGGATGGCTCCTTCGTTGGGTGAAAAATATTTGTTTCTAAGAGACCAACTTTGCAGTTTGAACTACTACAGAATGAGTTCTGCACAATTTGATCATATATTAAACTTAGTCATACCTTATATAGCGCAAAACAGCGGTTAGCTGTGCTGTAACCTTAAAATTTTTAGCAACGGGAAATGCATATCATGACTTAAAGTATAAATACTCAATAAGTTTATTGTTTCCATAGGTATTTTAAAATAATATTACATAATTAAGTTAGTCTCACTATGAACCCTATCGGGACAACAATAATATAAAGTTTATTATAGCATTAGTTTTTATTATTGTAATTTACATAAAATTTATAATTGTACCAGACACATGCAAAGGCTATCTAGAAATGTTTAAAACATTATATCATATAAAGCCCCAATTTGTCTATTAATATCATCCACAACTGCCTTGGTTTTTACTGAAGTTTCCTTACAAAACTCAATAGAAATGGGTCTACAAAAACGAACAGGTAGGTACCGGATTTTGCCAAACAACAAATCCCGACTGTTTATCAACTAATCTGATGGGGACCAATGAAGTAATGAACAAATTAGCATCTGAAACGGATAAAACACAATTTATTTTCAGAAACATTGAGGCTTTCCACTAAAACTTTGGATAATGATTCATGGTCCTGCCGCCCTCGATATAAGGGATTATAAATTCGCGTTTAATACAGCTAAAGGAAGACATTTTAATGCTTCACAATTTGCCGAAATTTCAGGCGTAGATGAGCTTTACTTCACTTGAAGTTACACCGATGAAGATAGCTCGAATAGTTTTTGCTTCCCTTTATATACCCATTTTCCAAAATCAAATTGGTACCCACATAATTATTATCTAGTAATTTCACGCATAACGAGTGCAAATTTGATAAGATTCCTTTGTTATCGCTAAATAAATAAAATATTCCAAAAGTAATATAATTGTTGTCCTTGTGAACGGTGTCTGTGGTAAACCGCAATAGATACTGATATCCGACTTTTCACACATTATTTCTTATATTTTCTAAAACCGCAAACTTCCGCAGCTGTTTTTTTTTTGTATTCTGTTACTGAATAGTTAGACTATCAATTAACATAAAAAGTTGCGCGTGGGGAGTTGTGGGTAATATTGAAAACCTTAGACGAAAAAAAAGAAAAGTAAAAAATATGGTATGCCACTTTTTAATTACTTACTGACATAATTGTCACTGCTTTAGAAATTAAAAAGCTGTAACGTAATAAGCATGAAATAACCTTTCCAAAAATGTATAAAACTGCATATATGTACCCAATATATCTTGCACAATATGGTTTTGAAACATGTATATGCGAAGACTCGAGTTCGGCACTCCCGTCTTCTATGTACTTCTACCTAAGAAAAAAATATAACTTCGTGCATTTTCGATAAAAAAACTTAATGAATATTATATTTCGATTATTTGAGATCCTAATAAAATCACCAAATTAAACAAATTACGATATTCGTAAAAAGTATTTTTGATATGCTCTTGTTCTACCATTTTCCACGGTGCGCAGGCTCAGACCTAAAATAGAATCGTTTTTCCCTCGAAGGGAATAAAACGGATATTTTGGTACTTACTTGATTTCTCCATGACAACCCGTCCGGTTTTCTTTCATGTATAAAAGTAAATTAGTTTTGAAAATTCGATAAACATCTCGTAATCTATTTGTACTTTTTCGTATTTGTATTGATCAAAATTCAGTTTTTCAATAAAAGGAACGGAAATTACTATCTTTAGTCCATTCGTTTCCCGGATTCGGAGGTGCTTTTATAGTGCTTTCTTTTTTTTAATACTTCCTCATTGTCTACTATACAAACAAAATTTATATTACTGTAATTTATTTCTAGAATTTTTCCACACCATTTGATACTATAACTTGCCACGATTAACCTAATAACTATTATAAAAAAAAGTCTTCTCGTCAAAGCATATATTCACAGATCGACCTTGGTCGTATAACTGAGGATTCGTATATATATCAAGGTTCATGAGATACAGCCTAGTGATAGACAGACGGACGGACAGAAAAGACTAAAAAATATCAAATTCGAATACTAGCGCTATTAATAAAAAATCATGCAATTTAAGTTTTTCAATTATAACCACATTTATACAAGATAAAATCATAACCTGCCTAACAATAGGTATTTCTACGTTAACACGAAAAAAAAAACACCAGTTACAGATGTTAAATAATTTTACCCTACCTATCAATTACAGTTTCATTAAACCATTCAAACCGTTAAATTTCGACCATAGTTCATACCGTTGACGTAGTTGTATACGTTATCTATAGTTGAAATTAACTTATTGATCGACTAGTCGATCAAGGTCCATGAACGGCAAATCTCTAAACTGTAATGACCACAATATAGTGCAAACGGTGTATCCCATAGAATGTTATCCCATCAAAAGTTCCTCTTCCGACAAATATAAAATGTATCTTCATCATCATTATCATCAATTCAGCCGAGACACGCCCACTGAGTATGGAGAAATCCAGCCCATACAAAATTATATCTAAACTCCTAGCAATCAATAACAGTCTTAATTTATAAATAAATTCTAATTATATGATTTTTAACAATATAATCAGATAGACGCGTTCAGAGTCTTTTTTATTGTTTTATCTATTACCTCAAAATTCAAAATGATCATATTTTATTATTTCTTTATGTGTATGTAACGTAACATTGGCGGAATTGTGTAAACGCCACGAAATAAAAAAGAAGAAGGTAGACATGGTTTTCAAACCAATATGAAGAGGAAGTATTTAAAAAAAAATGAAGAAACTACAGAAAATTATGTCACTAGATGGCAGCACAAATTGTTGGATCTAAACGTCAATTCTTAAATGCGGTTAGTGCGGTTATTGTTCAGTAGTTTGAATTCCTATCCTATTCGTTTTCTGTGCAAGCTGTTCTAATTTTGAATTCGTTACTAGATAGTTTTAGGAAAGCTCTCATTTTGCGGTCCTTCGTCGTAAAGTGTAGAGCTACTTTCTCATAAATCTTTCGTATACACGAATGTCAACTTAAACTGGATTGCGTACTGATATATTTCTTAAAATCAAACTTACACTTTATCTAATATAAAATAAGGTTTATTTTTCTATGTCACATTTCAGAGTAGAAAAACGGTCTACTAGAGATATTAGATTTGTAGTAGTAGGTCCTTGTCTAACGAGTTGCCATTGGAAAATTAAATAATTGTTATTGGCAATTAGGAGATTTTATTGATTTTTTAAAGACATCACTAGGTAATTTTAATTATTATCTATTAGTAAATATATTGAATAGACATAGTTGATATGTTTTTTAAGTAAAAGTGTGAATTAATTAAAATTATAATGTAAACCGATGTCGTGTTAGTAGTTTTTCGTTACATCTAAGTAGCAATATTATAAATTAATATGGCCGCTCGATGTGACAACATAAACAATGTTAAAGTTTAATGTTTATTTGTGTTTTGACTTACTAATTCGATTATTTACATCAAAATGGTATATTGTTTTGCTTGGCTGATTGCAAAAATGAATGGTATCACGAATGTGACTTCACATTCCACAGGTAAGCTGTTTTCCTTATTTATTAAACAGTGATGAAATAGGGTGTCTACGATCAAGAAACAAAACCATATCAAAGAGGCTTTGATTTAAATTAATATTCATACGTTTATATTATAAACATTTATAAGTTTTACTTACGCTACCCGCCATTCTTCGTTATCAATATTTTCACGGTAGGTACAAAGTTATTTGGAAAATGAAAAACGAGAACTAGCTTAATTATGTTTTGGAAAATATCGGAATGGCCTACACATTAGTTTGGATAAATATTTATAAAGTAATAATTTTCTTATGCTGACCATGACAAAATTGCTCTTATGTTTCTAGGATCCTAAAGGATAAAAGTCTAGCTGAAAAATGGAGGACAATAATACCAGGCAAAGTGATCCGTTGTATTCTAATACAATTAATAGGAAAAAAAACATTTCTATCCTTTTAATTGATTTATACATTATAGATGATTATAATAACATTTATGTACTTGTTTTATTTCCTACAAAATAAATATCTTTACCGATAAATAAAAACTAATTTATCGGTTAAATTTCTAACATCATCATTCATAATATCTGTAAAAATTTATAAAATTATATCTGTAAATGTTTAAATTTGGTCATGTAAACATTATTAAATATTACCTATTTATGAAATTATTAAAAACGCGTGGACATCCTACAAAACTACTAAGACAGAGATGAAGAGTTACTAATTTACTCTCTCACTCTGCCCGTTTTTAATGAAACACTGCACAATCCAGTTTAAATTGAAAGTATCGATGATCACGCTCTCTTTACAATCGAGTAATTAAGGAATCGAGTAACTAGCAATTAAAATAAAAGAAACTAAATCAAACTTCTTAATGATGATGCGACATATATATTGGATATGTCAATTAAATATACATGTCGCTATTACTACTCTCCATCTTAGTTACCAGGAAGAATTGCTGCGTAGCAATAAGAACACCTTTTTATATACTGAATTTTCCTTTCTTTGTAATGTCCTATGTTTGAGCAATAAAGAATATTGTTACCTATCATTGTCGGTTCGCTATATTGACAATTTCAAACTTATTTCTCGTTTCACATCGTAATAGGAACAACCAGTGATGATTAAGCAGTTCAAATTAGTAAGGTTAGTCCGAATAATTTCAGTGTAATAAGACCGATAAAAACGGAATCGCGCTTTGTGTGCGTTTGGGCACGCATGTGAATTTGCTGTACGTGTTAGCACCAGCCCTTTGAATTTTTATCTAATTTCATATTTATCAGTCCATTACGAAACAGGAACAAATAGTTCCGGAGAAAAAGTGGTGTTGCTGGCTTAGGCTATTGGCATATCTTCTAACCTATAGCACTTTAGAAACTCATCTTGTCAACTTAGTATGCCTTAATAAAGCAATAAATTACGCAAATGACCTCAACAAAAACAACAAACTTTACCTTTCTGACTATTAATACTCCAAGGGCTATTCCAATAAAATATTTTATTCACATACTAGCTTTTCGACAACAGTTTCGCCCGCGTGATCTTGTATTATACATAAAAATAAATACCCTCCCTTTTGAATCACATTATCTATAAAAAAAAACATCATCAAAATCCGTTGCGTAGTTTTAAAGATTTAAGCATACATAGGGACAGAGAAAGTGACTTTGTTTTATACTATGTAGTGATAATGTGACGTCAGCCCAGCAGCACCACAAATACTTATTATCTCCTTAACTTTGTTATTGTTCCTAATTTCATAACCGACTGACAATAAGGTAAATCTTCAGACCAAAACTGAAATAAATAAAGCACAATTATGACCATCTTACTTTTAATGTTAAGATAATAAACCAATGATTCTGATGCAGTGTTGAAAGCCTTACAAAATCATTAATGGGAATGATAGTTATCTTTCGAATAAAAATATCAATTACTATGTAAATAGTTCAATCAGGTAATGTTTATAATGGTGTGACCAGCCTAATTGGATTTCTTTGAATCTTTGGATGGAGAACGTGATCTTGAACGTGACATCGAACGCCCCTTGGAACGGGAGCGTGAACGGGAGCGGCTGCGAGAGCGGGACCCAGAGCGCGGCGAGCGAGAACGGGAGCGACGACGGGACCTCGACCGGCTGTAAACATAATAACAACATTAATGATATTATTAGTTATTATTGAAATCTTAAATTACGAACTAAATAAACATCATTAATCATATCTGGACTCTACACAAATCAATGGTAAAATAATTCTTGTCCTATAGAATCACAGGATATAAATTATGTAAAAAAAATATATATGTTAGCTTAGTAGCTAATATTACACTTGTATCGGTGGACACAACAGACACCAAAATTTCCAATTTCCTCTAAAATGCCAATACTTGTCACAAAGCCATGGTGACTAACATAATTGATGTCAAGTCAAATAAAAATGTTAAAAGGTATGTTATAATAGCTTGTTTTGGTGAACTTAGCTTTCTGAAATTTTGATTATTTATTTACAATGCCAATATTTATCAGTATGGTTGATCTATATAGCAGCCAGTCAAGATTGTCAAAGTTTCTTACTTGTCATCTTTGCTTGGTATTTTTATCATCCTTCTTTAGGACTTTTTAAGCAAATTGTCATTGATAATTTAGAATTCAACACTCTGGTCTTGTAGGAAAGCTGATGGGTCCCAAGGTGTTTTGTTGATCTTAATAGGTATTTCAAAGGCATTCCTTGCTGCACTATATTAGATTCTCTTAAAGGTCTGTAATTGGATGCTTGTAGCTACTTGCCCTGATTACAGTAGCTGTATTCCACTTATTGGTTGGGTACATCTTAAGACATGTGAATTTTGGAAGTCTGCAATTTGTAAATATCACTTCTCTATGGTAACAGGGATTTCTTGTACACCAGATGATGTGTAAGTTGATACATCATCTTTTCTTGGTTGTTTTCTAATATTGTAATCCAGGAAATGTCAATTTTTTTATTTGCCTCTATTTGATATAATTGCTAATGATTAACAAAATCTCTTCAATTTTTCTAGCATCAATGTGATTTTTATTATTAAATACATACTCTAATGGCACACTCACTTTCAAAGAAATCTATATGATGAAATTAATAAAAGTTAAGAAAGAGAATCCTTTTTTAGAGATAATTATTTTACATAATGTCACTTCACTCTCTGCACTCTCATTTACATATGAGACGAGAAACAGAAACTTCTGAGAGAGGACCCTTATTATAACATCACAAAAAATGTTTTTTTTATTATTTTGTTTCAAATAAGTAATTTATCATATAATAATTATGATTTTTTGAAAACAATTGATCATAATGATCACAATTGAAATCAAAAGTTGACCCAAATTGAAATCCAGGTAAGTTGCATTTTTTGATAATCCAAATGAAATGTAAAAAACTTATCATTTCATTTGAGAGGTAAAATTTTTGTCTGTGCACAATGTTTTTGTATTTTTGTTTTTATAAAATGTAATGATAGCTCATATTTTTAAGTGACAACATGGTTTTCATCATGTAACTATAAAGTGTGCACTAGGTGAAAAAGACAGTTACAGTGAGACATTAATAGTTATTATTTGCTTTTTAAAAACATACTTGCTCTGCTTTGTAAGACTTACCCATGAACTAAGAAAATCTTATACACCTATTAGTATGATCGTCATTACTAATCTGTTTTTTTATAAAATAGGTGTATAACCAGTTCATCTAAGGCCTTCAAGGTACACAAATATTGGATAATAATGTCTAACTCACTGAGTGCACGCAGTGATTACAATAGATGTGCGTCGCGACGCGCATAACAGACATTATGCTCTATGTAGTTCTCGACAAGTGAAGTGTGCACGTAGACTGTCATTACGTAGTTCGCAGAGCGAAGTTACCGATGCGGCCGACATTAGCGGACGACACGCCGCGAAGTGAAAGCTACGTAGCGCAGACAATAAGAAGTGCAGACACTGACGAGTTCATTCTCGGCGCACAGGCCAATGATAACCTATAACATAGTTATCATTGGTATAACTGAGTCCAAAACAAGTTTGATGAAACCTTTTACCATACAAAAAATTAATAATAGTCAAATGTTTGTAGATCTGGTAAAAGATTCCAGTGTGTCAGTTCAGTTTTGTTCACATACATAAGCTAAAGTTAAAAAGTAAATTCAAATCATAACCTGCGCCGGCGTCGGCGGGTACAATCACGAGCATAGTGTCCCCTATCGCCGCAATCATAACAACGATCGTCATATGGTCTCGGAGGTAACCGCGAACGAGGAGGAGGCCCTCTGCCTCCATAGCCACGACTTCCATTTGACATTTCAACACGAGCACGGCGGCCGCATATAGTTCTGCCATCCAAGCCCCGAATCTATACAATTCATAAAAATCAGTATTAAATTCAACTATTTATGTAGTTTTATTATAGCGAATCAAAAGAACATTATTTCTACTTACGGCATCTTCAGCATCTCGGGGATCTTCAAATTCTACAAAAGCAAAGCCGGGAGGATTTCGTGCAACCCAAACATTTCTCAAAGGTCCATAATAAGAAAAGGCATCCTCTAATTCAGGTTTGCTAGCATTGTTGCCTAAATCTCCAACGTAAACTTTACAATCACCGTATCTAGACATTTTATCTGAAAATAATCAGCAACTATGGAAATTCGATGTTAGAAAACGACTAAGTTTACCTGTTTTTCGAATATTAAAATCATACCTGTGGTTTGTAATTACGGTAATCTTCACATTTGTAACTAATACAAAGTAATAAATTTATTTAGACTTATAATTACAAAAGGAACTCCACAAAATCGACTAACCGGCAGATATTACAAGCAACCAAGAGACAAAATGGCGGCGGAATATCTTTTGGGCGGCGTGGCTTGCCCTACCTAGCCTAGTGATGTCAACTTAAGTTATATCGAATAGAATTCTCCTTGACACGAGTTTGACTTTTTTTTAATTTTTTAGTTAATAAACCAAGTACTATTAATTATATATATATATATGATAAGTTAAAACGATGGAAATGAATAACTACGTCGGTGTCTAACGAGATCCCAGTCCGAGCATAGAGTAAGTAAGAAACTAACCACCGTTTAAAGTCCGAATAACGTCTCATTACGGTTAATATAGTATCTGTGGATAAGTGCACACTCACTTTTGGCCTTTATTAAAAATCTATTTTGCAAACATTACTGTTAAATTGTTTTAATGAGCAAGTATTTAAAAACTAAGAATTAGTTCTTGAAATCATACTAGACGTTTAGATATTGTCTATGATATTCATTCAAATTTTGATTCTGACGTAATAAAAGTAAATTGATTATCAAAAATTAATAAATATCACATCGTTTCGTGTTTCTAACTTTCAAATAAATTTTATTTATTTAAATCATACTTTGTCGAACTTTCTTTTACTTTATCGAAAATTTGACCAACCATTTATGTGCATTTGAGCGGGCACTGCTGAGTAATAATGCCGTCGTACTCCAGCAACAAGAAGCTCTTGCAACGAGTTCAAGCTCCACATCAACAGAGAAGAGAGACAAGAATATGAAATGCAATTACTGCAAGGCGTAAAGAAATCGCGTAAAGAATTGTCAGAAGTGGATTCGAGATGGCAAGCCTCCGAAGAGTTGCAATTCATCGACACCTTCTACTTCTAATAATGCGAACATAGTTTTACTATCCCTTGAAAACACAGAGTTATATTCTACAGAACACAACACTGAAAATTGGTACGTACGTAGAGGCGAAATACTTCGAAACTACGAGAAGTTTGTCGATGCTCATAGAAGTCAAGACTGCTAACGGTAATACGACTCGTGCCGAAGGTAAAAATAAAAGGACAATACATATTTTTTTACAGGTGTTTTTTTTTCGTTATCTTTTTTATGATTTTTGTTACTGATTAATAAACCATATTTATTCATTCACTACACATAATATAAAAACATTATTGAGACTTGATTTAGTTTTATTGCTGTAAGTTCAACTAACAACTAAGAGCAATAAAATTAACTTACCTAGTCGTTATTTTTTGAGAACTTTTGTTGTAAATTATAATAAAAAATTCCTAGACCTCTGCTATGGTATAAGTATTTTATTTATAAAAACTATTTCACGTTAATATTATTGTATATTGGAGGTAAATGCCACTTTTAATAATTTCACAGCATTGATTCTTATTTCCATATCTTTTAAACAACCTTCTCTATGCTCACTTCCATTAAGTTCGTTTCCATTTTCTTTTATACAAATAAAAAATAAATTCATTTAAACAGTAGTTTGTATTAATCGAATTACGTTTGCGTAACTCGAACTAATTGATTTTAACTCGATATTAATCCGAATTATCAGATCCATAACAACACTGACAATTCTATTATCTTTGGCCTAACGTCATGAATTGACATTTAGTGATGCCATTTTAGTCACATAATTTTTCGGCATTTATCGATACCGAGTACTCATGTGGTATCGAGGCCGTTCCTCGATATGAGTACTCGGTATTGTTACGGGGTGCATCTTTTTTTTTTTATATTTTATATGTTAACGCTTGACTACGATCTACTACGATAAGTGCTGATGAAGCCTTGGGTGGTATAGCTCATTAACCTAGTAACAGCCTATTCACTCTTGATTTGAAGACATTCACATTCGCATCGGCGTATTGTTTCATCTATGTGTTACTAGATGGCATTACTTGTCATTTAGATCAACAACATCGATACTCCTTGTGTCATATAGGTAAACGGCGTGCGAAAAAGGGAAGTCGCAAGGGAAGAAAGAGACGGATAGTCGTTTTAGAACTTTTTGCTAATGCCTCGAATACACTGTTAGGGCCGACGGCTACTTAGAATGGTCTAGGTCCTAACATCGAACAGTCTGGAATGTTTTAACCTCAAACATTCTAGAATGCAATCTCGTTCTTGCGAGATCTCGGCCTTGTTTAGCGAGATTAATCTCGGTTGAAAAATGGATGAGATCTCGCGAGTTTAACGAGATTGCTCTCGAGCATATAGAAATTAGATTAAAAAGTTTCAATTTGATTTTAGACTTATATTGTATTGTAAAAAAAACTGTTTTTTTGTTATAAGACTTTTATTTGATACCTATTACAAAAGAAGACTGATTGTTTATTTCATTTTGTAGTTGATTAGATAAGTCAGAGTTCACGACTCAAAATATAATAGAATATAAATATATTAATGTTTTAGCTTTATACTACTACTGTTTTTTTTAAAAAGAATTGTTTTGTCGTTAAGATGTATTTATTTGATAATAGAAAAGAAGACTGGTTGTTTATTTCACTTCTTATGTGAAATACATCAAAGTTTATTACTTAAAAGCTTATTTAAAAATATTTCTTTTAGCTTTAGACTATTATTGTTTTGTAAAAAAAGAACTATGTTATTGTTAAAAGACTTATTTGATATCAGAAAAGAAGATTGTTTATATATTTCATTTCTTATTTGATTGGATACGTAAAAGTTTATTTAAAAAAAAAATTGGGACTTATATTGTTTTGTTTTAAGAGATTACTGTTTTATTATTTAAAGTTTATGTTTCTTTGTTAAAAAAGACGGGTTGTTTATTTTATTTTTTATTAAGGTCAAACTTAAAACTTTATTTAAAAAAAAAATGAAAATTCATACATGCATGAGTTTCATTTTAGTTTTAGACTTCGATTGTTTTGTAATAAAATACTATTTATTATTATAAAAAGACTTATGTTATATATTAAATAAGAAGACTGGGTTATTGATTTTATTTGTTAATTGATTAGATGCATCAAAATTTTCTACTTTAAAGTTTATTTATAAAAAAAGATACATATTAAATTTAATGATATATAAAAATGATATTGAATTAAATATATGTTTATTTATTTATTTTATTTTATCTGATTCATGATACCTATAATTCTTATTATTTTTTCGTTACATATTTAACGAATAACAATATTTAGCAGTTTTGAATTTGTTAAAAACACAAAATCGCCAATTTCGCAAGATCTTGAAATCGGCGAGATCTCACGGTATTAATATTCATAAACTCACGAGATCTCGTTTGAGCTCCAATCTCACGAGAATGCATTCCCTAGTATCGGCCCATATAAATACGCGGTGGGGTAGCCATTACACCCGGCATTTTTTGTTAAAAAAAAACGAAGTTGTGTTTCAATTCTTTTTGAATGTAATGAAGAGACAACTGAGGAACGAAATTAAATAAGCCACTAGACAAATATTAGCGAAAAGTATCTGCATTTTCTTGCCTTCAAATTAAATCAAAATTTAAACTTATTAATCAATATCAGTTTTCAAGAGGAAGTTAAAAACCTATGCCCTGGAAAGATAAACAAATACAAAGTAGATAATTAATTACTATTTATTAGTCAAATACAAAATTTTATATAATATCTTGTTCAAAATATGTTATCGTTATATGTAAATAATAAAATAGTTACAAAATAATAAAAGTTAATGTTAATAGTATGCTCAAAGTTTACCAAATGTAAAATAAATAATAATACATCTTATAAAATGCAACCTAATGCTAAAATAAAATAAATTTAAAAACTTAATAACTAAAAATGTCTAGGTGCCACTTCCTGTCACGCGCCTTTTACCTCTGTTTGTTTTGTTTCCGATTGTTTCTTTTTGTTAACAGTTAATTTAAGGTACCGTACGCATAGTTTTTGATTTAAAAGGTGTTGTATTGTTTACGCTTTTCTTGTGAGAAATCAATAAATATCTTAAACCACAACTTATTTTATTCATGACGTTATTCGAATAAAATGCTATAAATGAGACACACAGAGTAGTAGATTAAGAGATGCCAATAAAACAAAAACAGTGCCATCCTGGAATCTAGGATTTTTTTTATTATTATTATTACGACTAACAATAAGCTGTCGCCGGAATGATGTCACACAATGGCGAGTCGTGTTTTAAGTCACGTGACATACCAAAAATCTTGACTTTAAATTTTAAGATAATCATGCGTCTATATGTTTATTATAATAACGTATATTTTAGTTTTTGTGCTATTATTTTGTGACTTACTTTTTACTACCGAAACTACCCTATTCACTCATAGAAGTAAAATGCCAACTGTAACTAAACCGTACCAAGCAATATTCGATACCAGCAATTTTATTATGAGTACTGGCTAGTACTTACCATATAATCTTATAATCATCGAAGTTTGGGTGGGGTGGGTATGAATATGTATACTTTTAGTATGTATTCAGTTTGCGGCATAAATTAAACTCTGGTTACCGTTGGCCAAATACGATGTGTTAATTTTTTCTTTGCCTACAACGTACTGTAAACAAAGATTGTTTCTATTGAATTCAGAATTTTTATAGGTTGTATTGTATAATTAACCTGGCAACACTAAATAAAAAAGAAAAGCAATGTAGCGGACGGACGTCGTTTCGACTTTTCTATTCCGTCATGCAATAATTTTTGTCATTCATGAATTCGTCGTCAAAAAATAATTTAAATGGTGTCACGTATGTGAACATTAGATAAAAGTAGTTATTATAATGTGTTAGTATTTCATTTTACATAGTTCAACTTTATAGATCTTATATGATAGGTGTGTGACAAGTTCAGTAATGGTGGCCATGTCATGAAAATCCCAACAGCCATGGATGATAGCTCCGTATCTCATCACAACGGAGGGCAAGTGGGATCTCAAATTGGAGTCAGTGTAAATAATAAACAAAATGATGAACCTAGCCAAAGTGTCCAGTATTCAATACCGGGTATCTTACATTTTATTCAACACGAATGGGCGAGATTCGAGCTCGAGAGATCACAATGGGAGGTGGATAGAGCGGAATTTAAGGTGATATTCTTTATTATTGCTCATAAGATAAGACGGTTTAATTATAATTTTTAAATAGGGTATTTGCGAATGTGTTCAAAATAAATAAATTTATTTGTTTTTATGTTCCATATAGGTATTTATTTTTCATTTTTGCTAGTTGAATTTGTTTTATTATAGACGATGTTTTGAAGAAAACGTAATAAAATTTAAACTAAAAATTATTCTGTCAAAGGTTTTACTGACATTAATTATTACACATTTCAACTAAACAAACATAAAGAATAATATAGAACCAAAGTTAGCATTTAAATCTGTAGAATAATTAATGTCAAAATAACAGATACCTTTGTGTAATTCAAAAGATAGATTGCTATCTTGGAAAATTGATTATGTAGATGTAATTTTATTCTTTGGTTAGGTCAGATTATGCTGCACCATGTTATACCTATGTTATGTTTTAGTTTCAAGGAAAGGATAAATAAGGATATAGAATATATGTTTATTATATTAAGATAATTTTAAAACCATAATGTACCTATTTTTAAAGTTAATATCATATATATTATTTGAAACAAGAAGTTGCAGACCAATATCCTTGCTTTTTATTATAATTCATAAAAAGCTATTTTTATGGTAATGCAATGAAATAACTTACAATTTTGAAATAAGTCAAACTACTTACTTTTTACTCTATTTAGAGATTAAGAAAGATAAAGTTTTTTCTTATTTTTCTAGTGTATTTCCAATAAAGTTGAGATATTATTAAGAAGAGTTTGATACAGACATGATATTTCAAAAAAATAAAATTTTATTAAGTATGGTTAGGATAAAATACCCAGTAGTCGGCCTTTTAATGAGAATCTTAATCATATCATGGGTTTGAGTCCCATCTCAGAGTACAAGATAGATTTTTAAGCATTATTCATTAAGAATATTTTTCAGTATAGCATTGTGAATGCAAAATTTATTAAATATAATAATATTAATTTGATTCAACCATATTTAAAAAAATAAGGGCTTAAAATAAAAACAGTTATTTTCCAGAAAGGTTGTTTAATATATTTTCTAAAGATATCAACAAAACATAATTAAATTGGAATTTTCACCAGTACTCTGCTACATGTGCACCATAACTCAACCGTGTCTTATTCAGTCAACGTGTCGTAGTCAGCCTCTTACTCACTGCCTAAACCTTGCATATTGGACATACAAATTCTTTAATATATACATTTTCATAAACATTAAATAAACTAGCAAATTCAGTACATTACAAATAACCCCAACTAATATTCTATAAATTCTCTTATAACTATTTTCAGACTTCAACAGCTTTTATTTTTTGTAATTTGTTTCTTCTTTTGTCTTTTTCTGTTCCTTTACTTCTTTTTTCTGCTTTTCAACCTTCTTCTCAACATTGAAATTTTATAATTCAAGTTAAAATAAATTTAATGTTAAAATAAATATGCAAGATATAATCCTAATTAAATAGTAATAAGATTTAATTAATTTAGTAATAAGAATGCAGAAAAACTAATGGTTACTTTTATACACAGCCAACTACTGGTAAAATTAATTATTCTCATCGAAGAGTTATATTTAATCCAAAGCAAAAAAAATATGGACTATTTTCTATATGAATTTCAATGAAATCCTTATAAAACTAGTAGTTGGTAGCTTCTTCCATTGCTTTGACTGGATCAACCTTAAAAAATTGAACTCCAGTAGTCTGCTTACTGAATTATAATGTCATAAACAAATAAAATGCCTCTAACACTTAAATAATTTACAACACAAACAATCTATAATAATATAACAGAAATCTATCTTCTTATATATAATCTATCAGAATATTATTCAAAAAATATTATTCACAGCAAACTCATAAAAATTTTACCTTAGACTTGAACAAGCATCTTTATGAACAAAATTAAAATGAAGATGCTTCCTATCATGGTCACAGTGAAAATGAATAAATATAGTTCATTAATCAGCCATCCTTTTGATTTGAAGGTTTGTGTAATGACGACAAGGGAGCATAGATTCAATCAGATGTCACTATAATGGTATAAACCAAATTCAACACTATTTATATGACTTTAAAGCCTGTGAAGGCCATCTCCTGATGCGAGGCCGACACTTCTAGGTATTTTACTCTACTGTGGCAGATCTATCTTTTAGAAAAGATGAGATGGAGTATATTATTAGGAATTCTATTTGATCTATAATATTCATAAATACACTTTATTTTAGATTAAATGATAGTTAGTCATTTTTATTTTGTACTGTCAATATATCAGCTTATACAAATCTGTCAAATTTTTGAGCTGGATTTCATTTTAATTTTGTTCTTCAAAAAATGGCTACATTAATCATTCTACAATAAAACCTTACATAGTGTATTAAATGCTCTATCAATTACAGAACAACTCAACATTTGTTATTTATAATAATCTTCTTCTTCTTTTAATTAATGGCTGCATCTGCGCATTTTGCACAATTCTGCCAATGTCAAGTGAATAAATTAATTTCTAAATGTGAAATAAAAATGGAATGAATGAAAAATGGCGATGATCAAAACATTATTTCTTTATAATAATCAGTCAATATGCCAAAATTACAGCAACTCTTGTCAAAATTATGTCAATTTTGAACAGTAATACATTGTGAGTAAAATTGAAAAAATGTCAAAATAATCAATATAGCATATTGTGGTGACCTGACATACTGCTGTGTACATAAATTTAACCTATTGAACATCACAATCTGGTTACAATTTTATTAATCTGTTTACAAAATGTCTTACAATTAATCAGGTGACATAAAATGTTGTTGCTATATTAAATTAGTTTTTATTGTACTACCTAATTTAAATGAGGATATTACACTTTTCTTAGAATTATTATTTTAAACTATAACATCTTTTTTCATAATCATATTTTATATTTCTATGCAAATCACTCATTTGAAACAAATCTTGAAAGAGCTAAGGGCTCCCCTTGTTTCAATGTAAATATTTTTTTTTTCATATTCTTAAAATGCTATCTTGATTCTGCTATACTGATTTATTTTAAAATTTTTAACATAATAGGAGTCCTCGGCCTCCTATCTTCTGATTATATTTCAATTAAATGGTTTATGCCATCACATTGTCTACCTGATGGATCCTCTACCTTATCAGTACAAAACGCAACGGATTTTAATGCAGTTTTCATCAATATATAGTGATTCAAGAGGAATGTTATATGTAGATTAGGTTAGAAGGCTCTTTATCGCACTTAGACGCTCTAATCGGTGTATCGTATCTTAAATGTATAAAACAGGACCATGCGGGCGAAGCCGTTAATGGAAATCTAGTAGTAGAATATATTAATAACCAATTATTCCCCGGCAGCCCTGCTCGTCACGAGGCGCTACCTAGCTAAGGTAGTGAATCGTAACGGTAGCCGCTACCTTAACCATCGTTACATCGGGTGCGAACAATTGGCGAAACGAACGATGACACGATCCGACAATCTAGAACTAAGCGAAACTAGCAGAGTTGTAGGAAGTTAGTGTTACACTGGCACTGGACTGAAGTATAGCGAAGAGTGGGGCAGGACTTAGACCCAACAGTCTTGGTCTATGATGTCGGGTATATCGTTAAAAAGCCATACGAAACGTGAAAGGCCAAGAGCTGGCTGATTTCATGGAGAAGAACAATCTTTAATTAAATGATGAATTCTTTCAAGAAGTCGCAAAAGCACATGTGGATGTGGACAGGTATAAGTTCGGAAGGTTACATAAAAAGGATATATAATGTTAACGAAAACGCTCCAAACTGTTTGCGAAAAACTGTTAGGCAAAGTTAACTGGCCAGGCTGAAATCTTGACGATGATACCATGTTAAGCTTCATTTCCTCAAAATCATGAAGGACCGAGAGACCGACAGTTTCTATACTTAATCCACGTAAACACCTGTTGGAGGCAAGGCTAGAGATTAGGGTCGTGAGATAGTCGGGTTTCATTTGGATTGATTCAATTTATGAATTCATTTAATCGGTCAATCGTCCGCTTGGTATCAGTGGATACTCAGTTTATCTTTTTTGCTCCTCTAAAATTTTCTGAATCTCATGATGACTAGGGGCTGATATTGATTTTGAGCCACGTTTGTAAGTTGTTTTTGAGAGTAATTACGAATCTTCTCGATGGCGGGCATGAGTACTACCTAATAAGCCGGTCTTCGGAAGAACTACGAACTACGGAAGCGCATATGGGTTGTTTCTGGGGTCAAAAGAAGGTTCTAGGTCACCCAGCGGGCGGGCAAATGGAGGGTCAGCAATGCTTGTAAAATCTATGTGTGATTGTAAGTTTTTCTAAAACAATATAGGTGGCATGTGCCTGTCGTCCAGTATTTATTTCTAAACAGACATAATCCACACCAGAGATGATTGAACGACGTTTTGGAAAATTGTGGGAATTATTATGACCTATTCTTAATTTGTTGACGTACATAAAAAAATAATAAATAAATAAAGCATTTGCAATTTCGACAATTTTTTATTGAACAAAAGAAGTAATAAAGTCAAGGATTATTTTATCATCTATTTCTTGGTACACAAGGTACCTCGCCAGTTCTTAAGCAGAAACACTAATCTGCTTTACGATGTCACTTTTTCTTCTTTCTATCGCTAGGAGTTTTTGATTATCTTGACTTCGATCCAGTCCGATGAGTATGGATGAGATCTATGGGGAGATGACCTTACTCAGAAGGAATTTATTCACTTTTGCTTTAAATAGGATCTGGGGTACAATATAACTTATATGTATTACAGTGAAAGAAGTGACGCTAAGCTCTTTGTACGGAGGATTGAATATGCACTTAATAAGAATGGTATCGATACATACCGATGGTTAAATGGTAAAATCGAGATGAGCATAGCTCCCGAGCGCACTTTGCAACTTCAGTTTGTAGAAGATATATTAAAAAAAAATTGCAGGTTTTCGAAGTTGGCTATATAAATTCTTTGACTAGAAATGATGTATAGAATGCCGTCAAGTACTCATCAATCTCGGGGTGTTTTTCGATTTATTACCTATCTGTCAATTTTTTAAAAGTTTAAATTAGTTTTTGTTGTCATGGACTTAAAATAATGAATATACGGCAATACGTGTCGATTACGATGATATGATTACATAGAGTTTAAAATGTATGAATGCGGGTAAACTAGGAAAAATCCAGCAAATTTTTTTTGGCAATTTTGTTTTTGGCTAATCATTATAATTATCAATAAATTCTACAAGTTGTCAATATGTTATTTAACTTTATTACGTATTCTCCTCTAAAGCTATTAAGAAATTACGATTGTGCAGGGTTCGCATTGTAATTTTAATTGTAAGAATGCATAACTGATAATTATTTGATATGATATTTTGGATTTTTACAGGCACAAATCGCCTTTCTCCAAGGAGAAAGGATGGGGCAGGAGAATCTTAAAAACGACCTCGTGAGGCGAATCAAAATGCTAGAGTATGCATTGAAGCAAGAGAGAGCTAAGTTTCATAAACTTAAATATGGGGTGGAGCTACAGCAAGGTGACATACGGTCAGAGCCTGAGCCTCCGATGGAGCCTAAGCCTCCTGTGGATCCTGAACCAGCTGAGAGGGCTCAGTGGAAGCAGGGTCGTCAGCTTATCAAACAGTACCTGCAGGTATGATAAGTTTATTTATTTATAATTGCCATTAAACCAATTAGGGAGCAATTGATAAGTAGTGTTTAAATTGTTTTAATGTTCAATCCACAGGAAATAGGATATACTGATACAATACTTGACGTTCGTTCGAACCGAGTAAGGAACTTAATCGGACTTAACAATGAGGAGCAAATGGAGCTCTACACAAATTGTGAGAAACAACAAAGTGATAGATGTGACTATTCCATAAACTCTATGGTTCGGAAATATGACTATGGTAAGATACATTAAATTAGACTTTTCTATAGACTAGGTAGTTACTACATTATATTTCAAGTTATTAAGAGTTTAAAATTTAAAGTCATTCACTAAAACAGCTATTTAAATTATGCTTCCTAAAAATTATGCTTACTTTTAACAAAATTAAACCGAAAACTAATTCATCATAAGTAAAAACATTTTCATATTCAGTAGATGGTAAAGCTAATTAAATATCTCTTTCTCAAAGCTTAATAGTAATAATCTATTAATACTATGAACTTTTGAAACACAATATCAGTCTAATGTGTTGTTGTGCAGTACAGAGAATGCTGCAAAATAAATATTTTTTAGGCCTTATAAGTAAACTTTCGAAGCATCAGATTATGCCAGGGGGTCCTTTTTTTTAAAATGACTGTGCTATATCCCAGTTATATTTTTCTTAATATTCAACATGACGGTTGTTTGGAGCCAATTTTTTTTTTTACTTTTGCACTACAATAAATATTGCAGAAACCATCTGGATTAAGCTCTTAATATTTTAATGAAGCCATTTCAAAAAATATAGCACAATTTAAGCGCTCAACATCTTGACGAGACCATATCGAAAACAATAATAAAATATATTTTTGTAACGTAAAATGTGGTATTAATGTTTTGTACCTAAATCTGTAATATTTTAGTTGATGTTCCTATTGAGGTTTAAATCCGGATGCACAGTTGCCGTGCTAAGGATTAACAGAATGATAATTAAATATATCCAGGTAAAGAACAAAGAAAAGCGGTACCTTCTAGTGGCCGCTTTGGAGAAGAAGGGCTTTCTGTTCAAGAAACTGCTGCCGTGTTTGCCAACTTCGAATTTTTGGCCAACCAAGAGATGGACATGGATGAAATTGATGACTTAGATGCTAAACAACCTCACCATGCACCTGGTAAACAAGGTATTTTTATATAGTATGTTGGAAATTGTTATTGAAAGAATAAAGAAATTTAAACATTACTTCTTCATAGGAGAAGAGGTGGATCATGAAAGTGAAGAGGTACTGAATGAATTGAACACGCTCACAGAAAGCGAAGTAGACGGCGGTGGTCAAGGTGACGAGTACCCAGTTGGTGAGTTATTATATTTCTGTTTGATTTTGTAAAAGCTTGAGTGCGTGTGTGGTAACTCGTCGGTATCTAGCTTGAAAGCTTTTTGCACACGGTACTTAGAGTTATATATTTTGTTAAAAAAACCATTGCAGTTATGTAGATTGATATAATTTTTAAGATATTCTAAACTGCATCGAGGAACTCTGTGGTTAGCGCGTTCAGTCGCCGATACGTTTAAGCCACTTTCGCAAGTGCCGTTCATAGGATGGGTGACCAAAAATATTATTTTTGATGTACTCCGTACTTCAGAAAGCACGTTAATCTGTTGATCCCGGCTGCATGGGTAATCGTTAACACCCACCACAGGTTCTTTCTTCTCCCTATTCGATTCCTTCCATAGGGAGTGCTTGTGCTCTAGTAGTGAGGACATTAATAATGGCTCGTGGTGACGCATTCACAGATATTGGAAAAAATGTCCAATCAGCAAAAAAAAAAAAGCTAGTATCGGTTAGCAATCTTTTTAGGTATGTTGCAACATAACTATACTTGTTAGATGTAAAAAGTTAAAAACAAATGAGAATTATTACTGTTAATTTATTATTATTTTATTATAACAGAAACAGTTTAGCTTGTACATATTCATGTTATTAATTACAACATAGGGTCAATTGCCCTAACGTCCATTAGGTTAAATGACGGTTTAAGCTCTAATGAATGTCGAATTTGTATGGGTAATTTTAATGAACGTTTGTGCAACTGGCGATGGAGCAGTAAATTTTTTACTTTTGAATGATGTTATTCATTCAAATTAAGTATTACAAATGTGCATTGCTATGAGCGTGTTTAGGAAGCGGCGCGCGTGTGCGTAATTAATTCTATTGTTATACCGTTTCTTTCGTAAGGGATTATAGTAGCGAGACGCGAAAATGTCTATCGGCATTTATTTTTTATAACGAAAATTACATCGACACGGTTTTAATTGCGTCTTGTTGTAAAGATATCGTCTTGTTTTACAATATCTAATCGCCTACAACGAATAGTTTTACTATCTAAGTAAATGAGCGAGGATTAATGGCTTTAATAAATTTATATATTTTCTATAATATTGAATATGCTATGGTATAATCAAATAAATAGAAAAACTTATTTTGTCTATAATACTCGCTGTTTAATAGTTAACGTTTATATACGTTTTAAGAACAGATCTTTTGTGTTTACTTCCGTTTAAATTCGTAATAATTACAGAATGTGAGGCTGGTTTGAGTCGTACATAGAAAAGAAAATCAAAAATATTTCTTCGCTCTTTAAACTAGATAAAAAAAACTTGTTTAAAAGTATTATCTTTGCGACTTTTTGGTTGTCGTAGCAATCATTAAAATTCAAGTTTCCGTTTCTGAAAATGCTTGATCATATTCAATTTTGGTTTTTGATAAAACAATGGCATATCGCTAAAATAAAACTCGCTTTAAGCCAATAAAAGGCATTGTAGGTCAAAGATATCGTGATTACTTTGATTACGTGAGGCGTGATGTTTGATTGAAACCTTACGAAAATTGTATACATATAGGTATGCTCCTTAACATAAATAAATAATCGTGTGTTATTTTATGTAGTATGTCAGAATGAGCATGTAAATTATATAAACGCAGTTGAGATTAAATTGTTACGTTTGCGGAATACAGCTCGAAGACTACTCACTTGATTAAGTAAAAGAGTTGACTTGAAATATTGTGTCCACCCCAAAGTTATCAGAGGCATGCTCTATTGGTTCGAATATGTTTAATACAAATGATATCTGACAAAACTGAAATGCGACGCGTAGGTCTGAGGCAGAATCGTTTTCCACGTTCAAATCAATTGCGTATTGTCAGAGGGTGATGTGAGAAGCAATTAAAAATGGCAAACTTGTATGAAAAGAGATAAAGAACGTTGTGGGGGAGAGATAGTAGGGACTGTGCCTTGTGGTATAAGAGACCTTAAAAATAAAGATAGATTTTTCATCATCAGTCCTTTTACTTCCCCACTGCGTGGGCTCAGGCTTTCCTTATGGATGGTTAAGGAGGATGGGCCATGACTTTCCATGCTGGCTCTATGCGGATTGGAGGCTATGTTATTTTATGTTATGTTGTGTGCCTATTTTGCGTGACACGGGGTTGCATTACTCTTGCCACCCCAGCTCCTTCAGGAAGCCCATAAGTTCTCGAACTCTGCCGCATGCCTCCACTAGTGCCCTTGGGCTACCTAGATGTGTAGTCCTTTATCTTGTTAGGCCTCTGCATTCTAGTAGCACATGAGCGCTTGTCTCCTCAGTTACCATGCACGCTCTGCACAGAGGACTGTCAGAATAACCCATGTTATAAAGATGTTTGTTAAAGTTTCCATGTCCAGTAAGTATACCTACTATTTGCCTTATAGTATGTCTAGATAGGATTGGAGGCTATTAACGACTGCAAATGAAAACGGGACTAACAGCTTAACGTGCCTTCCGAAACACGAAGTAGCTCGAGATAATAATTTCTCTGTCATAGATTCCATGACCAACTCTTGCGAAAGTTTATCCACTATGCCACCTTTAGTTTAGTTTGGTAGATATAAATATCTACTAAGTGTATTATATAATGTTTAGTGAAATTCCCTGGCGGTACATCGGGTGGTCCAGTTCCGGCGGGTGTTGGTGGTGAGTCAGACGAGGAGCCGCTAGCGTTGGGCGAGCTCGCGCAGCTGACAGTCAGCAACGAGCCCGAGGCTTATGACGTCGCCAGCGCCAACAAGGAGTCCTTCCGGAAGACGTGGAACGCTAAATACACGCTGCGATCGCACTTTGATGGGGTATTCTATTTATTTTTCAATTTTTGCTTTAGAGGGAAAGTTGTATAAATATATTTTTTTTTATGTTTTCGATGTGCAATGGCATGAAGATCTGTCGCCTTGTCCATTGCAGCTGAGCGATTCGCAACAATCGGAACTCGAATTCGAATTTACTCCTGTTATTTAGTATGGAAATTCTATTGATTCAATTTTTTGTATAAAAATGCAAAACAAGATTGATTGATTCATACGTCTCTCAGGTATTCTATCCCTATGTAATTTCGAAACTCATTTCACTAATGCTATGAAACGTTAATACCATTTGAAATTTAAGCGAATGTCGTTTTCGAAGTGAATTTGGACACCTGATTGAATTCGAATTCGGGTTTTTACGGAATCGCTCTGCTGAGCTCTGATTTTTAATATTTGCCAATGAGTTATCTATGGATATTCTAAAAATGTCTTGTAATCTGCGGCCTGAGGAAAAGTTAGTATTGTTTTACCTATACAATTTGATAGAAATCAAATAGAATGATAGAAATAAATGTAATTGTAAAGTTATAAAATACCCATTTTTGTATTATTGAAATTGTGAAGGCAATTATTTATTTGTTGTCGATTTTCGGACGTGAATACAGAAGAAAGTTTGAAAATACCGTCTTTATAACATTCTGACGTTATAGTTGTAAGCTAAAAATTCTAAATTGTATTATGCTGTAGCTCTACCGTACTCGTTGCAGGTCCGAGCGTTAGCTTTCCATCCATCCGAAGCGGCTTTAGTGACCGCCTCCGAGGATCACACATTGAAGCTGTGGAACCTTCAACGTACAGTTCCGGCGAAGAAGTCCGCCAGTTTGGAAGTGGAACCGCTTTATACGTTCCGTGCGCACACTGGGCCCGTGCTCTGTCTCGCGATGGGCGCTCCACGTTCCGAAGAATGTTTCTCCGGCGGGCTCGATGGCACTATACGCGTGTGGAATCTGCCACCGCCGACCGCAGACCCTTATGATCCTTACGACCCGGCTGTGCAGGTAAGACAGATCGTTATTAGATGCCAGTTAGTTTTAATATCATGTACTGAATACATTATTTATTAAAAAGTTTGCGTTAAAAAGTAGTTGGTTCTCTTTTGACATGATATAATGTTTTCTATATTACAGAAGAATTTTCTGTAGTTAGATCTATGATATATAGGTTTAAAAGAAATATATATAGCGCCCATAAATTGTTGCACTAAATTTAGACAATTGTTGTATTTTCATTTTTATACTTCAAATGAAATATATTACTTAAGTTGATTGATTACCGAAAGTTGAGTTCCCAATGAAAGATGAGATTATATCAATTTTCTTTTCTATTAACTGCCAATTAAAAGCTATGACTCCTCTGCACCGCAAATGAACAACAGTTTTTTTTATTTATGGTAAAAGTACATACTTGCCCCTCTCCAGCCAATTTATTCGATTACCTTAAAGGTATCATTTTCTGTACCAGAGTATCTATCGTAATCGTAGTTGAAAATTACTATACCACCAGCTGTAAGACCACCGCTCATTCGTCTTTTCAGCTTTTAGGCAGACCCACACGGAATGCTGTCAGAGATACCCAAATAGTTTCGGTAGTGAAAAATAAAGTCACGAAATTGCACAAAAACGAAAATTGACATATAGATTTTGATTTTGAGTTATAAAATAGCATGATTATCTAATTATCTTAAAATTAAAAGTCCTGATTTTTTGTATGTAGAATACGACTAACACGTGATTTGAAACACCACTCGCCACTGTATGACGTCATTCTGGCGACAGCTGTCAGATTACTCGTAAACAACGCTTATTTATTAGTTAAATTTAAATTTTGATTTAATATAATGCCAATAAAATGCGTTTATTTAAAAAAAAAAATGCATATATTTAAATTAAAATAAATACATCCAAGTACTATTTCTAACAGAGTAGAACACCCTATTATGGTTATGTATTTATAATATAACTACTGTTATGATTTTACATAATATTGTAATGTGAAAAGGAGCGAAACAAAACTCTTGAAATCTTTAATAACGTGTAATGCCCACAAGAACAGGTGTTAGTCAAAGTACAAATCGTTAATGAAGTATGAAAGTCAATATCATTCAAAATAAAAAAAAAATTAGATCAAAATAAATAAAAAACTCAAAACATAGATAATAGTCTGTCCGTCAGGTATATTAAACACGTATTTTAATCAATAAATTACTGCGATATATGGAGTTGAAATGTTGCACAACATCACACCTTTGTAAATTTTCGAAGTAGTTGTGATGTAACAAGCCCCCAGTCCTCAACTTTAATGCCTCAAAACATAATCTAAGCGATTTCTTGTTAAATTGAAGCAAATAAAATTCGTATCTATTTCTATTATATGACTGATCCTGTTGACCCAACTTTTTAACCTAGTCATTATCTCTATTATAAAATGAGGTCGGTCCAGCTAGCGGTCCTCAACAAGTGTTTTTTTAAAACTACTTTAAATAACTGTTTCAACATATAGTTAGTATGTCTTATGTTGATAAAGAAATATTTTGGTTTATAACAGCCAGTCGCAGAAACGTCCATTAAAATTTCCATTAGTTTAAAGTGACATTACCCATACAAATTTGACATTCATTAGAGCTTAAAGGCGTCATTAAACCTTAATGGACGATTGTGCAACTGACCGTAAGTCTCATAAATTTCTAATGCGCTGGAACCTTGTCTAAATAACACCCGCGTGACGTTATATGAAAATAGAAAGTATAGATAGCACAAAAGTCAAGAGATAACTATTGTAATAATATATTAATAACTTCTAGGTCATTAGTTTATTGCATTAATTTTTGGAAAATAATCAATTTATATGTAAATATTTAGTTATAGGGAAAATAAAAAGATATGGAAATTAACATTTACTTTGTAATTCGCGATAACAAACGGAAAGGACATTTTTAAAAACAAATAAAAATAATAATGAAATGAGAGACATAATATATATTTAATATATATATTACTAGTTGCGCCTGCGCCTCGTGGGAAAGTATATTTATTAGGAGAATTCTTTCTTTCCTATGAATGGAATCGAATCGAATAAGATCAATGGTTTGTAACCCACTACGCGGGCCCAATGCAAATTAGTGGGTGTTAACAACTGCTGATGCAGCTGGGACTTATGGCTTAACTTGCATTTCGAAGTGCAGAGGAACTCAAGATAATAATACAGCTTTTCCATCTAATGCTAGGTTGCCTGAAAGAAATCTCTGGTTTGCGATAAGCTTATCTTTTGTATGTGGTTATGTAAAATATGTATGTATGTTCATGTCATTTTCCGATTTTAAAAAATTCTTTGCTCTACGGGAAGCTACATCATACTCGGGTTACAATTTACGCGGCTAGTAAATAGCTAGTTCATTACAATGTGTGACAGTCTATTTACGGTACGGGATACAGGTAGAGTGAAGGCAACAGTGGCTGGCGATAATCAAAACGACTTTCTCGTTCTCTATACTGAAAAGTTCAAGTTCATTAAGAGCTCCAGCTCATTTCTCTATCAAAGAAAGTCAGTCTTATACCATACTGCATGTGTGTTACGATCAGCACTTAAACGTGTTAAGCTATCTTAAGGAATTTGCTGAGATGAAACGCTTGCTGTATGAGTTCTCTGAGAGCTCAAGATAATTTTCCTGACAGTGAAATGCTTCAGATTCAACTTGATAGTACATGAGCCTCGCTACCTGCATTTAAATACGCTTCACGTCCTTAAGGTGTCTTATATGACCGAGCGCTTTCTGTCCGAAATCTATGAGAGTTCAAGCGAGTTTCTTTGTCAAGGTGCATTTCTGACGGAAAATACGTGTAATAAGTAAAAAAAGTAAATGTAATTAAATTCGACAACCAGTGTTTTTTTGCTAACTGTACTGATTTTTGATTCGCCAAAATGGCAGTTAGGGGCCGTCCATAAATTATGTCACACAGTATTCAGGTTTTTTAAACCCCCCCCCCCCCCCCCCTGTCACCTATTTATCTATACAAATTCTATCAAATATTGTTCTAATGTCACAGTTCGTCGAAACCCCCCCCCCTCCTAAAGTGTGACGTAATTTATGGATGACCCCTTAGGCGCATTAGCGTGGCGGGTATTACGAGTATATGATTATTGTGTGGTGTAGGGTCCGGTGTTGCGCGAGCACACGGACGCGGTGTGGTCGCTGGCGGCGGCTCACGGGCGGCTGCTGTCCGCGTCGGCGGACGGCACGGCGCGCCTGTGGGCGCCGCGCGTGCCCCGCCCCCTGCTGTCCACGCTGAGGGACGAGCAGGCGGCCGCCGCGCCCGCCGCCGCCGATTTCGCGGACTCGGCCACGCGCGCCGCCGTCGTGTACGTGGACGGCACGCTCGTGCTCTACGACCTGGAGACGGGACAGGTGGGTGTTACATGTGTCAAACGCTGCGGGACGAGGGCTAATTTTTGTTTGTTTGTTGAAATTTATAAAAACACGTATTTTTGAATTTTTTTCGTTACTTTTGTATATTTTCTACAAAACTGTGAGGTAGCGAGCCCTTACTTCTCAACTTGAATGCCTGCTATCTAAGCTACTTGTTAGGAAAAAAATTGTATCTAATATTCTTGTATTATATGAGTGACGGACTAAATACAGTTTCTTTTTTTTTATCCTGTCGTCATCCCTATTCTGCTAATGTTTACGTAATAATCGCATCTCAATATAATCTCAACAACTTGCATTCTTCCTTACACAAGTGCAATGTCTTTCTTACACATCAATGGTGACAGATATATAATATTGGACTTTAGGTAGATATTACAATGGTAGAATGCAAGTCGTTGTGATTCCATCGAGATGCCATTATTACGTAAACATTAATAGAATCGGCCTGCATGTGGCCGTCATAGCGTTTTCGAATTCGTGCCAATGATTTGGCCCTTATTCGTAAATCCTTACTTTCCGCACTCGTATCTTAAATAAATATTATGATACAGTTGACAGAACTATAATGAGTTTTATTTTTAATTTTATGTATATGCGTTTATAAAGTGCGCATCGTCTTTGAATTCGTAATTCGAATTTTTCGATTTGTGTGTAGATAAATAAAATAAAGATATATGATATATATCGTTGTGCAGGCGGTGTTGCGCGTGCCGTGCGACAGCGGCGCGACCCGTGTGCGCGCCCACCCGACGCGGTCGCTGCTGGTGACCGCGCACGAGGACCGGCACATCAGGTTCTGGGACGCGGTGTCCGGCCGGTGCGCGCACGCGATGGTCGCCCACCTGGACGCGGTCACCGGCCTCGCGCTAGACCCCAACGGCCTGTTCCTGCTGTCCGGCTCGCACGATTGCTCGGTGCGCCTCTGGAACCTGGACACGAAGACCTGCGTCCAGGAGATCACCGCCCACCGCAAGAAGTTCGACGAGAGCATCCTCGACGTCGCGTTCCATCCGCTCCGGCCGTACATCGCCAGCGCCGGCGCCGACTGCCTCGCTAAAGTCTTCGTTTGAGCGAGCGATATTATTTATATATATATAAATAAGCTATATATATATATATAAAATATATAAACATGTAATTTTAATTTCGATACGAACTATGTAATGCAGTAGCAGCGAGGTCTCGTCGTCGCTCGTAGACGGGCGACCGGTCCACTCGGATTATGTGTCTAGTCCTTTCGGTACGGTTACGAGTAGCGACGTATACGCGACGTATACGCGACGACGACTGCCGTGTGACGGACGCAGCCGCCCGGTTCGTTTTGTCGTATTTAACAAATATTGTAACGTAATTGGACGCGCGCTCGACGCTCGTTATAAGCGCGTAGTGAACACTCATCTATGTATAGACATTTGAAATCTATCATAATATATTTTTAGACTTTCAGTATGTGAATTTTAGGTTTTTAATGCGACTTTTTCACAGATTTAAGATGCGCAGTGAAAATATTGTTCGTTTCTATGCATTCTGTAAGCGAGACGTTGTAATAAATATCATGTGGATACCGAAGATGTTTTCTTGATACGTTTTTATGTTTCGTATCTGTACAGTTAGATGTTACACAGTAATGCTAATGTCGCAGAGAACGAATAGTGTTTCTTTTTAGCTAGTATATTTTTTATTTAAATCAATTGGTAAATATTTTTGTTTTGTGACTTATAATGAGAATGTGCTCTCATGATATCTTAACTCAAGTGGTGAGCGATCGAACAAAAATATGGTTGAGTAGAAATACTATATCGAAAATATAATAAGTAATGTTTGTTCATAACGAGTACTGCGATGTAGAATATATATTATAAAAACATTACATATTCCTTTATTTTCCTCGAATTCATACTTGTACACATACATCCAAAATTGATAGTAAAAAGCAACATAACCGAATTGCATGTTGTTTTTTTATACATCTTCTAAACCATTTCCCTGTAGTTAAGAACTATCAGTTGATCGGCGTCAGGGTTGACCTACTTTTGTTGGTTTTCCATGGTCTTAATCCTTTTCTGCTGATCAAAACTGAAAGAGCGTGTTGCCTATACCCTAGAATTAAACTAGTGGAAAGCGTGCTTCCGCATAGCACACCAACTAACTTTCTCGCTCTAGAAAAGGCGGTTCTGAACACCAGAATAGGACAGATCGACGGAAAAAGGTGATACCGTGTTACCAGATGTAGTCCAACCCTAAAAAATTGCTGTTGTCACCGTTCTAGTTGCAATATTGCATTCCCTAAATATATAAAATAGCGATAAAATTCGTTCAAACAACCATCTTACAGCAGGTTGCAAATGAAACTTATTTGAAAGCTGACCCTTTAAATGTTTTAACACTCGGGCTTTTAAAATATGAACCATTAGAGAGCTGCTGCACGCCAGTTTACCATTTTCGTATTTTCGCAAGTGATTTTAAACTTTAAGCTTAACGTATTAAGGTTTAAAATCAAATAGAGAATTTCGTCAGTTTTGTATAACTTGGCGTGCTGTTGACTGTACTAACAAGAGTTCGTCGTCTGGCAGTGCCAGTTTTGAAAATTTTGAAAAAAAAATCTTGACACATGAAGTCTCTAATTTATCAGTCCGTTAAGAAATATGGATAAATGGTAAAATTACGTATTTTCGGATTTAGACAAGTCTGTGGCGCTGTCAGGTTGCCGTCCGATAGCGCCACAGCTAAAAGTCCCCTACTTATTTAGTAAACTAGCTTTCAGCTAGCGGCTTCGACTGTGTGGTTGTGTTATCGCATCGGGCTGAGAGCCAGTGGCGTAACTATATCGTTTGAAGCCCGTGGCAAATTCATCGGATATTCATTTTTTTTTACTAATTGACCCCTTGCAGCTGGGGGCCCGTGGCATTTTGCCGTCTTGCCACCCTGTACGCACGCCACGCCACTGCTAACAGCGCCATCCTCTTGGCTTTGCATACCTAATTTTGGAATAAATTTGAAATGAATCCTCGACTTATTTAGTCCGTAATGAAATAGGGACAAATGGCTAAGGTACGTAGTTTCGGAAATTAACGAGTCTACCGAATTGACGTCAGACTGCCCCTAATTTTGTCAATAGATGGCGTTAATGTGCTAATTTGTAGATTTTAGAACTGCAAAATTTAAGGATTATTAAAATTTCAAAAACTGATAACATGTAATATAATTTAGGTACCGCATATCGATACTAAAATTCTAAAAAGGGAAGATTTGATTGTTTGCATCTAATAGGCGTCGAAAGTACTGAACCGATTTTAAAAAAATCTTACATCTACGGGAAGCCGCGTCATATACGAGTGATATAGGTTACAATTTACGCGGGTGAAGTCGCGGGAAAACGGCTATTTTATAATATAATATTACACTATAATTAAAATAATTTTTTAATAGAGAGGAACATGTTGTGTAACGTATATGGCTTAATGATTGCTGACTCATGTAACAGATTTTGTTTGTTTATAGCGGGGTGGTTTGTTTAAATTCAAAGGCATTGCAGATACAAGTAAATAATAACATTTCTTTTAGATCCAGTCGCCCACTTGAAGATATAAAGTCGAAGCAGTATTATATTATTTATTAGTGATTGAGTTCTATTTTGCTATATATCGATCTTAAAAAAATCTTTTTGATCGTAAAGATGACATATATTTACCTACGTAATGTGATTATCTTTCAAAAATATATATAAAACTTATTGTTTATCCAGTCTAGGGATAGGTGATGGAGATGCTGTTGGTCTGGTAACGCTGGTAAGAACACTGGTGGAGGAAAACTTTGGTGGTATATATACCAAAATTCTTATAGTAATGCCCTGAGGTAATATAATTATTAGAATACCATTCACAAATTTTTTGAGAAACCGCACACTGCTGGATTTTGACCATTTTCTTTAATATAAAAAAGTATCAATACAATGTGAATGCAAAATTTATGAAATGTGACGCACATACTTAATAATTATTTCACTATTTTACATGAATTTTAAACGTAATTTTTATATTTTTGTAAGGAAATTAATAATTTTCACAAGGCACACAATAGTTACATATGTTATAATATCAAAAGATGAAGTTATATAAATTCTTTTCAAAATCAATTTGTGATTAGTGAATTTGGTTTAGGCGCTTTCTCAAACCCACTTATGTAGAGAAATTACAATGTATTAAGTTGTAGAATGAAAGACACGTTATCTACCATTTTTTGTTCCCGTCTTACAAAATCGAAAAATAATTATAAAAAATTACGATGGTGGTTAATTTAATTGTTAATTGGCTTTTGGCAATTCTTGAAAACTATAATGTTGGTTGGTTGTTTTCGATTTTTAGGGTGAATTTAGTTCTTTTCTAGTTATAACAGTAATAATGATTTATAAAAGTACTTACCTGCTTATTTTGACTGCAAAGTTCACAGAAATATATAGCTTTCGCCTATCTATGCTACTGTAAAAATACCTAGAATGCGAAAAAATATTTTTCCATTGTTGTTATTGAGTATGAAGTCAGTAATTGATAGGATGGAATCAGTCCCACCGATCGTATTCAAGTGTAAATATCATTTTGATTACGGAATACGTGTACAAAATGTTCCAAATGTAAGTACTTTTAATATACATTTTCAGCTATATACATACCATCAACATATTAGTTCTTAAATCGGTGAGAAATGCAAAGTGGTATTTCTTAGTTATTCTTCCAAGATTAATAAAATTCGCCAACTAGTGACTTACATTGTAGTAGTAATTAAATAGGTAGAGACTAATAATTCAGATAAGTAGATTCGGTGCTAATTTTATTGTGACAAACGGACGGACAGATAGAGATAATGAGAATGACCTAAGAGATACAGTTAACTAATTTTACAATTATTTATATAGGTATGTACACTATTGTACAGTCAATTAGCACGTCATATTTTACTAATATCTTCCTTTATCACATAATATTTGTTGGTGACCCGCTACGCAAACCTTTTTGGCATGTTTATTTTCTAAATTCTCAGTTTTTAAATAAATGTCATTCATACTATTAGACTTACGAAACAAATGTAAAACTTCAGTGTGAGAATAACAATATACGGCTGTGACGGTGTTTTCGTGGTTTCCTTTAAAATTACCTGGTAGCCAGATCTCTATCTTTTTCATTGGTGTCAGAAGTGGGATAAAATAATAACGATCATGCCCATGGTTACCAGGTCTCGTGTTTGCCAAAACCAAGAAACCCTTAAGTCTAGTTCCTATAGTACAGTGCGTGAAGTGTCTAACGAAGCCGCCTCTAATCGTGGTAGCGCCTCTATTTCCGGCGCCCTAGCGCCAGCGTTACCCAGCGTGCTCCACACCGCGCCACAAGATGACTTACTTACCACTGCATCACAAAGCGCCCCAGCGCCGCCGCCAACCAATTCTCCTCGATCGTGTACGAAATCTACAGCAAAAACTATAAAAGCACAGCAGCTGGCTGCCAAATTGAAACATGCTCGACGACAAGCCGCAATAGAAAAGGAATTGGCAGACTTGGAATTGGAAGCCGAGCTTGCTGCCATTACCTCTTCTACTTCGAGCCATTCACGTTTGGATTATGTGGAACAATGGTTAGTCGCATCGCATGACAATCCCGTAGATAGAGCTTATAATAACCGTTCTATTATTTTCGATAGAGAGAAATGTGTCGATTCAATATGTAGCGCTCCACTAGAACAACCCCCAGCGTCACGTTTAGCAGAGGATAGAGATGCCCTAGTATCTGCAGCACGAGGCTGTACTATACCACGCCTGTCCCCGCTTACTTACAACGATGGCCCTCGGGTACGAGCCGCCGACACATTCACAACTACACATGCTCAAAATATAGGTACACACAACAGTAGTAATGATTGTAATTTGTACAAAAATAAAATTAACAATAAAACTGTAGGTACACATGACAACATTACTTTACTGGCGAACGCTATACTGGATCTAGGAAGGAAGCCGAAGGTCAGTGATCTCCCTAGGTTTGATGGTCGTGCTTCCGATTGGCTCTCGTTCAAAAGGACGTTTGAGCAGTCCGAAGCAAACTTCACACCGATGGACAACATCGCCAGAATCTC